GCCTGCACAAAATCAATTACTTTGCTTCATCAAACTTCAAAAACATTGCGATTTTCTAACTCCTACATCCTAATTTGCGTCACAGACAGATGCCGCCTAATTATTTTCAAGGATATCAGTAGAATAAACGTGGATTATTTCCCCTCCATGAGATTGTTTGTTGTTTTGAAAATATGGAAGCGGTAATGAACATCCGATGTCCTTCCTGTCCTAGGTTCCAAACGCCACCATGCACAGCAGGGATGTCTCTGCAATGTTTCGTAACTGGGAAGGAATACATTTGGTTTTTCAAGACCCAGCTGAGTGTGTCTCATCAAGGGCGTTAATCGCTTCTAAAAAGTGTGGGGGGACATACCTTGATCAGAACTAATGCGAGCGTGAAGCGCGAAGCCATACGTCGTGGGTTTCCGGAAGAGTTTGGATTCTAGATGCTTTGTGGTGCAATCTGAGGCAATTTCTGACCACTTAAACCAATTTTTTTTAGTAAAAGGTCATCATTTAAACATCATTTTCAAGTTTGGATTCATTGAAGCAGCTATTCTGAGCTATAGAATATAGGCTGCAAGTTTTATTCGGGGACGAAAAAAATGGGGGGAGGGAGACAAACGATATGATATCCCCACTTAAAAAGTGGCGGGGGGGCATGTCCCCCCCCCCCCTCCTGTGCCCCATCGACTGACGCCCATGGTGTGTCTTGATGGATGAACGCTTGCCTATTTTTAATTTTGCTCTCCCACGTTCTTCAACAAGCGTTTCCACTTACAAATTTTCAGTTTATTTTCGTCATTTAGGAACTACATGTAGGCCTACTTGTTTGTTGGTCGCAGGGCCAGGGGGTCCAGCCTGTTGTCGTCTTTGTAACTGATTGGCTCACTCACTCACAATCACTTGTGAATTACACTCTCCTAAGTCTCAACTTTCCCCTTAAAAATTGAAATAACATTACTCTGCGACGTCAATGATAGCAACGATCGGGCTAACTCTGGCCCATTGTGTAGGCCACATGTAGGAAAGACTTACAGTGATTACCATTTCTGAATCAATTAAATAGAGTTGTCTGCTCTTTCGGATCAGCTTTACCAGCCTTTCCTTGTCCTATTTCTATTTTGGGCGCCCTCAACCTTAACAGCGCTTTTAAATTGGTTTGCTTAAATATACCCTATAAGCCTAACGCACTAAAAGAGTTCAATGTTGGACCGAAAATAATTGGAAAATTGGTATATATGTATATTATTATATTGGCGGAGTCTACCATTCGGTGTCTCATTATCATTCTTAGGCTTTCTTGATGACAATTATTGGCAGGTAAACATCATTCCTTTTTAACAGCATCATGCTGTTGAAGAGGAAACACGTTCTACGTATACGCGTTCGTGCTCATTAGTCTTAACTGAATTTCATTTCATAAATTAAATTTTCTTTGAATGGCACACCACAAGAGGGCAGTAAAGTCGATACCTCTGAAAGAACATTCGTTTTCATGTTTAAGAGGGCGCTATTCACTTACATCTGATCCAACAACTTTACGTGGGCATTTAAGGGAAGGTTTCAAACAGTTATGACCGTTGATGATTGAGTCTGAGAAAGCTGCAATAATTTTGTGTTTGTTGGTACTAAATTTTCAGCTTCTCTTCTGGTTAGATAGCCTCTAATTACATATAAAGGGCAAAGGTAAATATAAGTCATCTGTAGCTGTGGGTTTATAAAAGATTCAATTCAATTCAGTAGACATTTATTTTGCACTCTCCAAAAAAAACAATACAAAGTGGGATAATATAACTGATGAAGTACAATACAGTAAAATTTAAGTAACAAAATAATACTTTGAGCTAATTTAGTTAACAAATAAGGAAAATGAAAAGAAAGAGTAATATACGAGCATACAGGGCTGTTCAGAATAATGTAAGCCAAGGCTTGTGAGTGGAACAGTCTGGACAATTGTACAACGTGATCACAAGAAGAACAACAAACAGCTACAAACAGACACACAAACAAAATACAAACGAATACAACGCAGTAAAGTCATATTATAAATCAAGCTGATGCAAGTTGAATAAAAAAACACACAAATATAACAATAAAAACCATGGAATAACAAAATATTGAGCATTGAAAGAAAACAAAAGTTAAGGAGGGAAGGCTATGCTACACTTGGAGAGAAGGAATCTTTTATAGAAAGATTTGAATCGACCCGCGGACGGCATTGCCCTGAAATGGTGGCAACATGATAAAGGTCTCTTGGTAATGGAGTTCCATTAGAGCGACCCATCGATCTTAAGTTGAGGCTAGCGTATATAGCGCCTGGTGCAAAGGGAAGGAACAGGCGGCAGCGGTTGCGGCGGACCGGTTTTTAAACTGGTTTGGGAGGGGGAAATCACCAAAAAGGAGCACTTGCTCAGTACAAGGCTTCTTCCGTCAGTGCAGCAGCGTATCCAGCATTTTTTTTGGGGGGGGGGGGGGGGGGACAACATCCGTGCTGAAATGTCGACACATTTTGTTTTCACCGGAAACTTTGCCTCCGTAAAATCAAATAGTGTGTGTGGGGGGGGGGGGGCTGACGCTCTTCAAAACCGGCCAGTATGCAAACTACGCATTATGTTAGGGTTTGGGGGCTTGGTTTTTATTTCCTCGTTCATATCAGAACTCTCTATACCATTTTAGGAAATGGTTACTGAATAAATTTATCTACAGTTTTACGGCCAGTATTTTTCATCTCGAGGTCATCTTTTATGTCCGCAAATGTCCGTCAATGTGAGAAGGGGGGACAAGTGCCCCCTGCCCCCCCCCCCGCCCCAGTTCCACCGCCCCTGGGAACAGGTTATTGCGTGTTCTGGTTTCATGATCATGTATTTGTCGGACAGGTGTGAAATATGCAGAAAAGATGTCAGGAAAAAGATTGTTCACAAATTTATACATGAATATGCCAGTTTGCTGGGGAAATTGTTTTACTTATTTGCATAGACCTACGTACGACTACGTGTATAAAGCATAAGTGGGGTCGTGGCATTGCGCCTCTGCTGAGGAAACCATCAAGTCACAATTTATGTCACAAAAATGATCAAAAGTATCTTACAATCTCCTCTTAATAGATTCCAATTGCAATCTGACATTTCTGGTACATTATAAAATTAAGAATGAGATGTCGGTGTAATTATTAAATTGGAAAAGAAAATTGAGAGAACAGACGAAAATTCAACATACTGATCCCGTGCCAATCGGCTTCCACACGTAGTTCCCGTGTCACTTTCTCGTATCACGTATGATAAGAACGGAATAAGTTATGACGTCATACGTAAAATAGATAGGGGTACGTGATACGTGGATTTGCCGAAACCCTCTCAGAATATAACCGTCGAACGTTCCGCGCGTCATACAGACTTGATTCGTTCATATGTCGCGCGATATGGGACAGAGGCCCCCCCCCTCCCTTTTGTGTTGGTCACTGCAAAATCTCAGGAATTCTTTTGAGATATCTAGGGGGATGTGTTAGGTAACAAATAGTTTAGGGTATAGGAAGATTGGGGGACCCATCTGTCCCATATGACGCTTGGTATATTCTCACTCGCTTTGTTGACAGCTTTTCGTCAAGTAGGCCCTACACAAAAAAGTACACATCTTCTGTTTCAAATGATATTTATTGTTTTTGCACTTTATTTTTGCGTTTTCCACATTTTGGTATGTTTATGTCTATACCTTACATACTTCCGTACATTACAGAGTTGGAGATACTCTGGAGAAGGCCTAATAATTTGTTAATCGACGTCTAAAAAGAGTAACTTTTCATTTATCATTTAACCAGGTAGCCCATTTAGTTGAATCCACTGGTCTCCCATGGGGCCCCAGTAAAGAGAAGACAATGTGAAGAAATTACAGTTTAAATTAGAGGTGGGAGGAAAAGCCCAGAAGAGTATTCTGAGGGAAACCGACGGAATCAGGTAGGGACTGAAAACCCGATCCACATATTGGCCAAGCCAGGATTCGAACCAAGGTCACAGCGGTGGAAGGCGAGGAAAGTACCGCTACGCCTACCTGTCTCCTTTCATGTCGAATCATACTACACATGTTTGATATCGTGCAACATACGAAGTGTTAGATGTGAAATCCGCGACATTTTTTTAATTACATGTAGCAATTATTTAAACTGCAGCTGTAACTCACAGATGTGTTGACATGCACAAACATGAACGTGCAGGACTTGTATATCTAATATTATATGTTCTGCTTGACGCGCGTATACGTGCAGCAATGGCTTATGGTGCATTATGTTTGCTAAGAGGAGTTTGTACCGCACGATCGTCAGAATTAAACTAGTGATTTTATTCACGAAAGCCAAGTTGTTATTCTTCCCGTTAGGGGTGCATGAAGTCCTGAGTGTTAACCTTTCTTTCCTTTTAACTGCATTTTTAAAACTAATTAACTAAAAGTAATCATTCATTTTAGTGAGCGCTGAGCCATTTAGAATTGGTGGGAAATTTCTTACGTTGGGTGTCATATTTTTCTTATCCAACTGCACCGGCATAAATTCTGCAATTTGATAAATGACGATTTCAAAGTCAATTTGAAATACAGGGTAAATAAAAGACTTATTTTAATATCCAAAAAAAAGTATTTTGTTAATGTTATCGCACACAAATCAAGGCTCAGATTGTGTAATACTACACGTATCACAATCGTCTATTAAAGAAAATTGCGATATCAGTGTATGTCAGCCATCGGAATTCGACACGATTACAAAACCAAAAGCATTACCGAAAATATGTGAAACATATGTTTCGATAAAGGTACCTCATGGTTTTTTTTCACAACTTCCATACCGTCATTCGTTTTCTCTCAAAAACCCCGATGACAGACTCAAGATGCACAAAAAGGTAATTGGTTTTCTAGGTTTGCTGGTAGTGCGCCCCTTGCAGCTAGGCCTGAAGTGTTGCACTTCAATTAAAAAAACTATGAATACATAACGAGGCATTGTCACAGAGAAAAGGCCACAGATAAATATTAAATCTATCAATGAAGCACGGCGGAGTGTGTGTACACATCTAGTTAACGTGTAAACCAGACTGTATGTTGGCGTGCACAGCAGATGCCGACGGTGGATTAACTCCCATAGGTTGCCACACACGGAACGTCACCAATACCGAACGTTGGCTGGTTGCAACATACGGACTTATAGGACTACACGAAAACGAAATAGTCACTCTGGTTGAGTGTGTGCACCAGTGACCATACAGTCCGCTTTGCGCGAGTCATACAAAGGGATTTCCTAATTGAAAGTGCATTACATTATTTCACTAGAGAATTGTCGACACATGAAATAATAGCTTATGAGACTTGAAGCTATTTTTAGCGGATTGGTAGTTAGGGGGACTCTGGGTATATATTTTGGCTCAGAGTTCATTCGCTATTTCAACTTCTTGTGACCATCTTTGCTGTCAACGTCAACTTTCCACCTTGCCCCTGACGTGGCTCTTATAGGATGCTCATTCCTCGTCATGGCTCACGCCATATCTGCGTTTTCCTCTTCTGTGCTCTTCTGACGACAAACACCTGCAGGGCCTCAGGTAATCCATTGTCCGACGAAGAGGCCGAGGATGGCCCGGGGTCCTACTTCACCAACGAGTTCGCCGTGCAAATCGAAGGAGGGGAGGAGGTAGCCAGGGCAGTGGCGCTGGAACATGGATACCAACTTAAGATGCAGGTAAGACAGTATCTTGGCAACAATACTATGGCATTAACATGCCAAGTGGAAAAACAGTAATGGAGTTAATTTGGATAATTAGTAGCCAGTACGTTACAGACACATTCCTCGAAAAGTAAATTGTAAGCTTTTTCAACATATTTTACTTACTCGGCATTTCCTCGCTGAAATGCGCTGCGTTCTCTCTGTGGTGTATGCATCTAAATCTGTAGGAGAAAATAACAGTAATTATATTGTTTCTGAACCACCATAATTATGCATCAAACAAAATGAAAATTCCCTGATGTTAACAATCATTTATAAGTCAAATATTTACACAAACCACGAGTGTTGAGTTGCTGCGGCCAGGAACTATGAAATACAAAGGATGGAACACTTTCTGATATTAATTAAAAAGTCACAAAGAAAATATAATTGAATCACTAAAAAAAAAAATCCCAGTACAACGCTATGCAATTTAAGCCTTTCTCACTATGAATACTTGCCCTGCAGACTAAAAGTGAACACGCAGCGTGCATACAGTCATATTATCCGTGTATTATGAACAACTAATAATAGTTTTATGAGCAGCTTACAGACAAATATACCGCAATGCGTCACTGTCAAACCATATCGATATTTCGGATTTTCTATTTCTAATTATCGGTTGGATATGAGAGATTAGATATTGGAGATAATTTCAATCTTTAACCAGAGGACAAGCGGAAATTCATAAGAGGTTTTCGAACAGATAAAACTAACAGCTCAGATAAAATGGTCTCTTAGAAATTGTAGATATGAATACAAGCATAAACAAACAAACCGAAAACACTGATAGGATAGGCATAATAAAGATCGAATGAGGTCAAAGGTCAAATAAGTGTCAGCAAAAAAAATTACACTTTTTTCCTCTCCTGAATAAAATTTGGACTATCTTTGATCGTCATTTTTATTTTCCGTGAGGAATTAAAACCAAATTGGCGCTGACTGACTCGGAGATTTTCAAAAACTCGCCCGTTCAAACTAACGAATGACTTATTTTTGTTTAAAATATCTCCCAAACAAACACCATACTGCTATGCTATTTTTCAAGTAGCAAATATTGTTTTGAACAGCATTTTTGTTTGGTGTGGTAACATATGGAATTATACAAGCGTGAGGCATAAACATTGCTATAGACAGGTTAGATAGCAATGACAACCGCCTATTTGGAAGATAGCACGAACTTCATGCCATACCAGCAGATTTATGCAAACGTAATTATAAAAAATGTATATCGCGATATAAATTGACAGTTTCGAATTTGCATTTTCCTGTGTAAAACTAATTGATATCGCTCATTATCTTTTGAAAGGTTAAGTCAAAATAATTAAATGGGGAAAATCCATTCTCAGACTGGTGTCATTATTGTTTTGTCATTATTGTTTCTACATATCAATTTTGTCATTATTGTTTCTACATATCAATTTTATTGTTTCTACATATCAGTATTTTTCAGGAAAAATATGTTGTTTTAATTCTAGCACGATTTCAACGCACACAATATTTGAAAATAAATGTCAAAAGTAAGATTTATTTACCTCCAGGGTGCTAATTAGTTCAACTTTTCCGGTGGTTTTGCGATAAAAAAAATGTTGGTAATCAGACATTGGCGGGATTATTGCTAATTTCCATATACCATGCAACTTTTCATACCATAATAATATTCTTGTAGGGATATTTGTTTTTTTGTATTTTAATATCAAAAGTCATATCCAAAATCGAGAATCAGAGTAAGGAATTTCACAAATCATTATTATAGGTCGAGTGGGCCCTATCATCGAAGATCCTTTGTCGGTGTGCAATGTATTTACATATCTTTATGATTCCAAATCGATTTTCGAGAAATTTTAATGAGATTTTGAAAGTCAATGACTACACATGTGGGAACCCTTTCATTCAGCCCATGGTTTCTAATGCAAACAAAAAATGTGCTGTCTCTCTTCGCTGTCATGCATCTGTCATTTAAATGTATTATGGCTCAAGAATCAATTCATGCATGCTTCTATGAGCACTGCGTGGTGACTGATCAATCGCTTACGGAAGTCAAAGGACAGATTTTGGTTTCACTCAAAAGGTTGGTGCAGTGCTTGGCGTTGTAGTCGAATCACTTAAGTCGAGTCCCGAGTCACGACTCATTTGATTCCAGTCCGAGTCCGAATCTCGAGTCATTTGATTCAAGTCCAAGTGCGAGTCTCGAGTCATCATTCAAGTCCAAGTGCGACTCACGAATCATTTGATTGAAGTCCGAGTCCGAGTCACGACTCATTTGATTCAAGTCCGAGTGCGAGTCTCGAGTCATCATTCAAGTCCAAGTGCGAGTCACGATTCATTTGATTGAAGTCCGAGTCCGAGTCACTAGTCAGAGATTCAAGTCCGAGTCCGAGTCACTAGTCATTTGATTCAAGTCTGAGTCCGAGTCTCGAGTCATTTGATTGAAGTCCGAGTCCGAGTCACGACTCATTTGATTGAAGTCCGAGTCCGAGTCACAAGTCACAAGTGGTGTGGTACGGTTCGTGTGCTCAACCTTCTTTCCGAGTGGTAGTCCGATTCTTATGCCGATGTGACTCGAGTCTAGTCCCATCAGTCATCGACATTGCGACTCGATACTGGTATTTCTCAAAAGGTACCTCTGCATGGCGACTTGTTACTCATTTGTTGCGTGTGTTCACATGTAATCGATAGTGGCTTGAAAATGCTATTTGCGCACTGCTGTTGTGACTTTACCTTCCCATTATTCAGCCACTATCAGAGGGGTAGTTCATAAAGAGAGCATATTTTCATTTCTCTCTTTGTTGGCTAGATCGGCAGCCTACAAGATCACTACCTCCTTCACCACGACGAGACACCAGCCAGGTCCAAACGAGCGACTGATGAACAACACACCAAGAATCTCGCGGATGACCAGCGGGTAAAAAACCCTGATTTATCGGTGGCTGATAATAATTACTAAATCATGCTTAATAGAGTAAAGCGCATTTTGCAATGCACTGCACAATGCAAGGGAAAATGATTTCAAATGTTGGAACGGGCAAGCTAGAGTGCTGAGTTTCAGAATGTTTTAAGCAGTGAACCTACATTTGCAATGTGTATGACGTCATTTCCAGAAAGGATATCTTGCCTTTATTATTTAGGCCTACGTATATTGGAAAGAAGAAAGAGTACTAACATGTCATGACCATCCGCCAAATCTGCCCTTGTATAATGATAGCAAAAGTTTATTTCCAACTGTACAACTGCATTTCCTTAAAATGTTTTCAGTCTGTTTATGTTCGTTGGATAATCAGGCCCTTGATAAATTATATGCTAATGTTTTGCAGATGTTTGGAATGTATTTTGAAGCATTAAGAAACAATTTCAAAAAGAACTTCTAGGAAAAGACTTCAATGAAAAATCGATTTATATAGATTACTTTGAGCGAAGACTGACGAATAAAAGCAGCCGTCAGCATTTTGCAACTTGCTCTGAAAACCTTTTGTGGGCCTACTTACTAGATCTGCTGGTGATAAAACTTTGCAGCATTTGCTGATTTACACATATCTCGCTCTTGAAGAGCAGGGTCTGTGTCATTCCTTACAACTTTCAAAAACGTTTCTTGTCGTTTTGGTGTCTTCTTTTTTTAAGGTTCTGTGGTTTCAGCAGCAAGAGGCCAAACATCGCAACAAGCGCGGCGTGATCCAACGCGTGACCGTCGAGCGCTCAACCAACTTCAACGACCCGCTGTACAACGAAGAGTGGTATTTGGTAAGCATCATATAGCCATTTCAGATGTAAATTATTTCGAGCAATACATCAATTATCAGCTTTTACAGGAGATATTGGACGACAAAAATCTCCAACATTCAGTTTAATATGGAATAATATACCTTACGGATTTTAATAAGTTGCGACCCGACAATACATTTAGCCGGTCTTTTTGGTTGAGTTTAAAATAAATGAAAACATTCGTCGGGGGGAAAAGATTTCAATTTTGATGACTAGCACGGGGACAATTTAACCAAATAAATTTACACTAAGCACTAAGGAATCACGAATATACGCGCTTGCTGGCGAAAATCAGTTCAATTTGCATTGACTTAATGAAACAAAAAACTCGGGGAAAATTGCACAATTTGCGGTGATGAAAAAGAATACCGTTGCTCGTTTGTGTATAAACGCTTCAAATTTGTAGTTCCAAAACAAAAATGGGGCCCGCAAGCCCCGTCAAAACATTTGCTATTACCAGCAGACGTACCTACCGATAAACAAGAAACTTCCTGTACACGTAAAGAAAGGCAAATACCCTGTGAAATTATTCCGCTAAAATTGTATCATTCGGAAGAAAACAATCATTGAAGGTGGTTTGATGTGCCCGCGGGCAAAATTGTTTGTACATGCGTTGTTTTTTAATCTGTTGCAAAAAGAAGTAAACTCACTGTTGTCAGGAATTTGAACTATTTGAACTATTTTTTATAACGTAGTGAAGTATAGCTCTTTAACCATACGTGGTGGAAAAAATCTTTAAAAATCGCAAGAATAGTGTTGTTATGCTAATTTGAATACACGTCACCAAAATCACTGTTGTCCACGTGTAAGTCTGGTGTATAGTGCTTTTGTCTTCAAATCAGCTCCCGGAGCTCAGTCAAGCGGATGGAATCACGGATCCTACAAGGATCAACGACTCGGCCAAACTCCTGGTTAGACGCGTGATAACGGCCCGTACTAGTGGCAAATACCATGAATATTTGTCAACAAAGACCCCTGCGCGCGGCGGCTTTCAGATGATTTGCATGGATCTGCGCCCGATCTGGTGTCACGCGTCTATTAACCAATTAAAGGCAAGTCCGCTCAGTGCATTTTGTACTGGAGCTCGAGCAGTCGTTCATCCTTGTGTGTAGGATCCGTGATGGAATAAAGCCATCCCTGGACAAACAGGTTTGGCACATGAAATTTTTAAACTACCATATCTCAGAGACAAAACATCCATTTGCAATATTTTAATACTATTAACCCTAAAAGGGCCGCGTTATTTTGACCATCTCACAGCCGGGGCCGCCCCCTCCCCCTAAGATTTCGGCCATCGAGTGACGAAAAAATATGAAACTTAGTACATGCATAGAACAACTCAACATAAACATGCCCAAGAAGTTTGACTATAGGTCAAAGGGTTTTGGAATTATGGCAAATTAATAATTCGTATGCACGAATGGTAATTCTGCTTTGTGCTACGTATACAGGGAAATTCAGTTTTCACGGCGCGTAGCGCCGGAAAATTTGTCGCTGCGCGACAACCCGTAGTCCGCATTTTATGTTTTTGGTATCAAAAGATGCGCAAGACTCGAGGCTAAAAGTCAGGACAGCTCGGGTCGCGAAAACATTTTTTTTTCAAGTGTTTCGCAGAAAGAAGTTGAGGGGGCGGATTCCGCCCCGGCTTTTTTAGGGTTAAATGGAATTTTTGCAATATGCTCAACAAGTAGGCGAAAATTGCTGTCAAAAGTGGGTTTCCTTTTCTTCGCCTTCTCAAAATATATAGTATCCACTGAGCTTAAACTTCAACTATTTATTTGTCATGCACTCTTTTTATAATTTTGAACAATCAGTTGCTTAAAACGAAAACAAATACACACACGCACACACCCACGTTTGTTTATGGTGTAAATCGAGGATTTTCTGTTGTTCCTCTTCCCTTTTCCTGCGTTTATACTCTCATTGGTTTTGTGCACATTTTCTAATTGAGGTCGTCCTCGATTTGGTTCCTGTCCTCGATTGACCGATGATGTTGCACGTGTGTGTCCTCGATTTTCATTTTTCACCATAAACAAACGCAAAAGGCATGGGCTCATGTACCTTTGTAAACCAAGAATGTTTTCTGATATGCAACTTGCTTTGATTAGAACGAAGAGGGTGAAAGTCATAGAGGGATACAACCAGATATGCACGTGAGATCGTTGTGGAAGAAAGGGATCACGGGAAAAGGTGTCGTTGTGTCTGTTGTTGACGATGGTAAGCAGTTCTTATCATTTTAAGTCCCAGGACGTTTTGGTTTTGAGCATTGGGAGGGGTATTTGTTTGTTTGTATGGTTCGGCTCGGGTAATTATCCGCATCCAGGCTCCAACCGGTCTAGTGTTTAAAACCTCCCAATCACACATTTATTCCCGTATTAAATAAAACGATTTCTTAGCTTCTGTTTTAACGCAGTGTCTATCGAATGTTTTTTATCGAGCCTGAGAATATTTTTATTTTTTTGGTTTGCATCTCAGTGGGGGCTTTTCGAATTCAACACGTCCTCTGTCACTTCCTCAGAAAGTTATAATTAACCGTAGTACATTAATTGGGACTGCCTGGGCTGTCTTGAAGTCCATGAGAGGCAACTTTTGTACAGGTTCGAGGCATGTTTATTTTAACTCTTTAGCCATGGTGGATGGGGCGCGCCTCGCTTTCTGAACGTAATTTATCAGATTTGAATAAGCGGGATTATCAAGATCCCACAACTGTCCTTTTATGGAAGTTAGTAGATTCCGACTCCTGAAAGCTATAAGTGTATTTCATTCTTTAAGTTTATCAACAGGCACCTATCCCTTGCCCGTAAAATATCTGACTTTACTTAGTCCAAATAATGCCCTCACTGGTGAAGGGTCGGTTCATACTTCAACGCAAAAGCGAAAGCGAAGCGAATTTCATTATGTCAACAAAAGTGTGTTCTAGTGACGTTCGCCGTTGAACTAATAAAATTTAATAAGTCGTTTCGTTCGCAGTTTGCGGCGTGAAGCACGAAGTAGCTTTAATGTCTATCAATAAGATGCATATCGCCTAGAACTCCACATGAATAATTTTACTCCACAGTGCAGATCCATATACCTCTATATACATTCGATGTAAAGCATTGACGTAGGAGGGGAATGATGAAAAGATTAAAGTGCGTTCTATAGCTCAGATTGTGATAATGTGTTTTAAGGGGGAGTTGCTCATAATACCTCGCGTCGAGCTATACAGATGTTAACTTCCAGGATGCTCATTTATTAATTTTTAAGCACAACTATGAGGAAACGGTCCAGTTTTCCGAGTCAATAATTGTTTTTGTCTCGTGCAGCTGTTTTAATGTATGCATAAAAACGATCTAAACAAATGCAACCGGAAATTGTTTCGTTTTCAAATGATCGCGTGTCATAAAGATGTTTGTATAAAACAGGTGCATTTATTATTCATTAAAAAAAATTGTCAAACAGATATTTTTAAGGACTGAACTTATTTCCACGACGAGGTTGATGAGCCTCTTCTAAATGCTTATCCCTTTGGGGGTAAAGGAATGTCTTCAGGAACTCAATTCCATCTCATGTTACGAGAATGCAACATTATATCAGTCTACATTAGTTTATAATTACCAAATTTCGACTCATTTGTTTTGATGTTTTCATTGGCAGTGGTAATTTTTTGTTTGACCCTTCTTGTACTATAGGACTGGAAGTGGCCCATTCGGACATGGCTAGTAACTACGACCCTCGGGCTAGCTGGAACTACAAGGAGAATCGAAACGACCCAACGCCTCCTACGGCTACCTACGAAAACAATGGGTACTCGAGTTTGCTTCAAACAAAATAAAATAAGAACAACGAAACAGAACAAGACAATGCAAACGGAAGATTAAGTTTGGCGCAAAAAAGCACTTAGAAAAATATTGGCATTTTACCCTAAAAAGTACCTACCAATTTAACGGGAAAAAATCTTGCTCAAATAAGACTGTCACCAAATACCCTGTGAAATTAGTCCACCAGAAATGGTATCGTTAGGAAAAAGAAAATCGTTGAATGCGCTCAATAAAAATGTGCCCATGGGCACATTTTTTTTGACCTGATGCGTAAGCGACGGAATCCAGTCTCTAATAAATGTGCAAACATTTTCTCTGTTTTCTCAAAATGTATAGTGTCCACTAAGCTGATGCCTCAACAAGTTATTTATTCTGCACCCTTCGCAAGATTTTGAGCAATTTTATTCCTTCAGACGAAAAAGATCCTTTGAAAAAAGCAAATGTTCCGATGTGACTTAAATGCGCATGCCACATTTTATAAACTTCGCGTGTATCTGGTATTTTTCGCGCATTCGCTTATGAAAACAGAATATTCAGTGTATAATTCTAATTTCAAAATGTGGGAAACGCGACAAAGTAGAATAGATGTGACCCTGGTGCAAAGTGTGCACCTGATGGGTGGGGTTCTCAGACCTTTTCCATACAGCACAGGCTTAATTTGCTTAGACTTATGTTTTTCTTTCATGTTTGAGTGAAATCAATTCACATAGATGTTCCTAACCTGTTGATTATGTTAGAAACTAATCAAGAAATTTCATAGGAGTGACAGTGTGGAAAGTATGGAGTGTGATAATAGGTTGATCTCAATGTGGCACTTCAAAAGAAATATATTTGGTGTCAGATATTAACATTTTACCACGCTGCCGTGTTATTTAAAAAAAAAAAAAAAAAAAACTTTGAGTTATTATTTTTCTGTCCTAGTCATGGGACACGCTGTGCTGGGGAAGTGGCAATGGCTGCTGATAACGGAAAGTGCGGTGTCGGGGTCGCCTTCGAAGCGAGCATTGGAGGTATGATTTTAAAAAAATAATAATCTCATAGTCAGGTGACATGAAAAGTGCCCGATCCAGACATTTAGTTAACCGAATCCATGAACACATACAACAATTCAACCGTTTGTCCTTGGGAAAAAAATATGATTGTTATGATCTAAACAATGCCCAATTATGCACCCGGAATGTCCTGTTACCCAATTGAACTGATGCCCAAGTTGGAACAACGCCTGGCCAATATTATAATTAATTTAATCAGATTCCAAAATGGGCAAGAGAGCACGCAGCTTCCATAAACACACGTGGAACGTATGCAAGTTGTTACTTGTGTGTCCTTGACCTACGATTCAGTTATTGCTATATTTTAATTGAGTTTTCACATGCAATAGAAAAGGCATACCGTGCTCTTCAAACACTCAGTTGATTTCCGTTGTGTGAGATTATATACCTTAAAGTTATGTTGGTGTATACGTGCTTTTGGGGTGTGGCAACTTGAAAAAAATAGATTTTCAAATTGAATTGCTAATTTCTTCCATTACATTAGTTAAGAGCTTTCAAATGAGACATTGCACGAAAAACTCGGCCCACAACGAGTAATCAATTAATTAAGTTCAATTGTTCATTTTTTGAATTGACGCTCCTAATTCGTTCTGAATAGTGTGCGCAGTTTTTGAGCTGGAGCGCGCCATTTAAAACTACTTTTTAAAACTTTGTAAAGGCCTGCAAACGCAAACAAGCAATGTGTTACAGAACATTATATTCCATTATATTTCGTTGGGAAAAGAAAATCGAAATTTTGAAAAGCGAATGTATACCAACTTTAAAAGAAACTCGGATGTCTTGTGACTATGGTCTTGTTGAGTAAGATCACTTTTAAAGTTTTGTTGTGGTGTCTTTCTTCGCAAGGCGTGCGTATGCTGGAAGGGAAAGTTACGGACGCGGTGGAGGGCGCCTCCTTATCTCACGCCCTGGACCACATCGATATCTTCAGCGTTAGCTGGGGACCCACTGACGACGGAGAGACCACGGATGGACCTGGGCCACTGTCAAGCAAAGCACTGGAAGCGGGCATCAAACTGGTAAGAGACGTGACGTCAGAGATGACGTCATTGACATGCACAATGTCAGCAAGTTTGAGTGAGAACTCAATTTCAATATAACTTGACAATCTTCGATCGAATTCACGTTATTGTCGATCATAGTTCAACTAATCTCGTCGACTATTATACAAATAATGAATGTTTATGAGTGCAATGGCAAGAATGTTTTCATGATGTGACAGAATTAATGTCACATTCCACGAGTAAAGCCAAATGGGATGGAACGTTCCATCTGTCAACGAATGAACATTCCATTCCACGAACCACGAATGTGAAACATTCATTATTTGTTTATACAATGCCAGAATAAATTGATGGTAAGCAGTATACTTATCATATTGAAAATAGAATGGGAATTCTATTTTTGCGGTGCGGCAGGGCGGTGGATTTAGACGAATAACCATTACACGTGATCAACGATCCACCAATCAGATGACGGAGGTGTATTCAGGCGTTGCGTAATCACGACTAGCCTATTAATCGAGGCCAGTCGCATCAGCCACTTGTAATACAGAGCTCTGCGGTATCACAATGGACAGCAGATAGCTAGATCTTTAAAATTCCGTGATGACATGTTGACCATCGTTTTACTACAGCGTGTCTCAATCAACAGTGTGCATGAAGAAATCATCCAATGGATTTTCAATTATTTTTATTGCATTGTAAAATTCAACAGTCTTGTCTTCACCTATATTTCCAGTTTCCGTGAAAATCTGTTGATTCAAACAAAATGTAATAGCTTTTAAAGTGCTTTCTAATTTCATCCCATTCCAATGGAAATCCCACAGTAAAGGGTGTTAGTGTTCATACAGTAATTACTGGTTATGCTTGTCATTTCTGGTTAAAACAGATCCAGGACTCGCACTTTTATAATAGCATGAGTGTTATTATTGCGTTTTATTAGAACACAGTCTGATGTTAGACCAAATAAAAATGTAGCATGTTTAGCGTCCCCGCCGGCTTCCTTTTTGGAGGCCACCTCCTTTTCTTTCTTTTTTTTTTGACCGAAAAAACGATAATTTTTAAACAGTGACATAATTTTGACCTCTTTGTCTGTTGCATCTAGCCTATATAAAGCTGATATGTCATTCCCGAGTCCAAGTGCCGGCCATTTAAAAAAAAACCGCGGCGGCCATCTTGACAAATAGCCCAGTCGGGTAGCCATTTTGGAGGGGGGAAAGGGGCCTCTTCCTTCCTTTTTTTCAAAATGCAGGACGCTAAACATGTTTTTTTTTTATTTGGCCTTAAAAAAGGTAATGTTGCAATCTAGCATAATATACATTACTTAACGATGTCTAAAAGACACATGGAACGTGTTAGTTGCTAAGTGTTACATATTAGCATCACATTCGTAACGTGGAAAAACTCAAGGAAATTTTCTAAAACAAAATGAAACATTAATGGCAGGATAAGTAGAATCAGATTAGTTTAGTTTGAGAGAAGAGTTAAATGAGTGAAAAATACTGGTGCAATTGAAAAATGCATTAAAATAATAATAACTGAAACTGAGGGATCTGACAAAACAAAACAGGGTAGAAATGGCAAGGGCGTCCTCTACGCCTGGGCATCGGGCAACGGCGGGTCCAAAGACAACTGCAACTGTGATGCGTACTCAAGCAGCATCTACACCATCGCCACGGCCAGTGTGTCTGAATCTGGCCAGAAGACATAGTGAGTCCGTGAGGTGGCCGGGAACGCATGCTTACCTCACCTGGGTTCGAGGTGGAGGGAGTCATCACCCTGTGCTGCATGTGGAATAGATTGGTGGCTGGGTCTTCCATATCCCCTTAGAATGCTCTTGGGTCATATGGGTTCCCTTGGCCTTTGTGTCAGAATCCGGCTAGAAGACTTATTAGTCCGCAGCCGCCTTGCTTCGTCTAGGCCTCGCTCTTGTATGTGGTTGCGGGTGGGGGTGTCATCACCCTGTGTTGCACGTGGTCTATACCGGTGGCCGGGTCTCTTCTTTTTTTTCTTCTTCTTCTTTTTTTACAAACTGCATTCCATTTCAGGTGGAATGGTCATGGTTTTCTCACGAGTTAGTGTTTGAAATCTGTTAAGGAGAATACACGAGAAAGTGTGGATTCGTAATTTAAGAATTCACGAGGCGCGAAGCGCCGAGTGAATTCGTAAATTAAGAATGGCACTTGCGAGTGTATTCTTCGACTTAAACCATTGCGTCAACAGAAGTATAAGAAAGAATGCTGCAACGTGACGCCACTTTTTTCTTCATATATCATCTCAATGAAGGCCAGTTGTTGCAAAATTGATAATAAGACATGAATCTGGGACTGATAAATGTTTCCAAAATTGTTAGGAAATACTTGAAATGACTCTCCATAAACGTTGTACACAAGTGCGGAAGTGGCGTCAGGTTGCAACATTGTTCCTGGCGTGTTTAGCATGTGTATCGCCACATACGTCAAAATGGATAGTTGAGACGACGATTTCTTTCTGACTAAAGTAGATTTTGCAGTGACGGCGGAAAATCTGACAGTGAAGATGCATTGGTAATTTTCGGAAAGCAAATTTTCACTCAGACGGTCCTATTCATGCTCATTATGGAGAACAATTGTCCGACGTTTTCAAAGTGTGGATTCGTAATTCCGAATCCACACTTTACTAAAGATTCTTCGTTCCGAATCCACACTTTGTGACCAGTGTAAGAGATTCGTAGATCCGAATCCACACTTTTAACAATAGTGTGACGTCATAGCAATGGTTTAAGCAAGAAGACCGTAGACTGAGAGTGCTCAGTGTGGTGGCCGGGAACGCATCAGGGAAGGCGACCTCACCCTAATGCGCTGGCTGGGTCTTCTCATTCTGTTTATTAGCAAGATGTGGTCATTCTATAGGAATGCCCAAGGATTTTTGTTTTCCTCTTCAAAAAAGGGCTTTCTATCACACCTTCATCCTTTTTTCTTCCCCTTTTAATTTTTATGAAGTAATATGGCATCCACCGGCAAACAGGCAAATTTTGGTATCACAATAAAAAACATGAGCATCTGCAAAAAGCTTCACCAGTTTTAAATTCACGCATTTTTATTACATATTACATTCCTCCTTCCCTCCACTTGGTGATAGCTGCTACGCATTGATTCATGTAATCCGGAATTTTCCGCAGTCTCTAGGCCGCCCCCCCCCTCTTTCTTTTGGTTCTTCTTTTCCATCTGTAAGTGTACATCCACTATTTTGATAAATATATCGACGTATACTTTTTGGTTTCTGGGTGGCCCCTCACACAAAAAAGTATAAGTTAAACTCTAAACAGGAAATATGGTGTTTTCTATTTCTTTTTTTGAGAGAGAGAATGAACCAAAACACTGAAAAATTGAAATATGAACAATATTTATCACTGTTCATCAAATTTTCAATGAAGCCTCAAGTAACAAAAATACATTCTTCAACAATTAATACTCAAATGCGTAGAGGTGCATTCAATCATCATCATCGTTATCCTAATCGGTTAAAACTTCAAAAAAAAAAATCACCATCATTTCATCAATCATCGACAATACACCGCCCATTTTTTTCTTATATAGTAAGTAATATTTCCAAACATATTGTTGAATTGTTGAAAATACAAATAACCAACAAACGCTATCAATTTCAAAGACTATATAAAATGCCTCTTTCATCCGTAATAAGGGTGTTAATATGCATTATTTTTGTCGAAATATCTGTTGGCAACCACGGCTTAAATGTATGTCCGTGTGGCAGCCCATACAAAATGACGCTCATTGTTTACAAACGAAATCAGGTCTAAACTTGGGATTCACATCTGTTGTACCATCAAAATGGCGTCGTTCAATATCCCGACCCATCGCTTAAAAATATGACGTATTGTTTAGATTTCAATATTTTTTCCCACGCCCTTTTCTCATAGTTACGGCGAAACCTGCCCCTCTGTCCTCACCTCCGCGTACAGCAGTGGCGCTGGGAGTTCGCGTTCTGTGGTCTCCGCCGACCTACACGACCGATGTACGAGCAGTCATGGTGGAACATCAGCTGCCGCTCCCATGACTGCAGGGGTGCTCGCCCTACTACTACAGGCCAAGTAAAGAAATGCGAGAGTTTATTTAAAGAGATTATAATAAACAAAACGTTTTAAAAGAAGATATCCCAAACATAATTGATCAGTATGAGCACTGTGGTTGAATCTGGAAAGGGTGAATATTAGCTTCCCATACCTTACTCTTACCCATGTAGTCGTTAATAATTTGGATAATTCATTCCAAAGCAGAAGGTACAATCCAACTTTGGGGTAATTTAGTGGCGGCATGAGCTGGTCAAACAATCCGCATCTCTATCAATTATATAGGCCTCCCTTTCAACACTGACAGTGAGTTGTTGGACAACTCATCTCACTGTTCAGAAAAATAATTAAAATTCATAATTAATCATTCATAATGCAGATCAATTCATTACTTTTGGTTAAGCCTTTAGAAAGTTAGTAAGTTAGTAACAAACGTTGACATCGTTTATTGCTCCTTCATAATTATCTGGACAAATTTCAACCAAACTTTGTCAAAAGTATCAGTAGCCCAGCCCCAACATGTCACATGACCAAACTGGAGTCAAAGATCATCATGGGGTAACTAGCCTGGGGTCAAAAATCTGATTCATTTTTTTTTTTTACTCAAAACACTTCTCCTTCCAGAAATTACATGGTACAATCACGTGAATCATACATGAACACGAATGCGTTGGTCCGCCGCTTCCGAGATCCGATCGAGCTTGTTTCCCTATGAACAGTATTCCAAATACACCGTCTTCGGATATTCATTAAATAAATTGACCTATCAGCTGTCTCAAGCGTGCAAAATGTGGGTGACGCTCCACTGAACATACAGTTGGGAATTCGCTGTGGAACTTATAGTTCGTGTTCCGTAACATGGGAAGTGCGTTGACAAAAAAATTAACACTCTTGAAAGCAAAAAGTAGATTATCTGTGGTTATTTGTCGTCGAATAGGCCAAACGAAGTTGACAGGCGATTAGATTAGTAGCCATTCGTTTCTTCGTTCGTTATGCTCGTGGATTTGGAATAGCTTGTTGCAGTTCAGTATTTTTTTGAACTTATTTTTAGTTTTATGATCGACACGGATGGGTCGTTAGGCTTTATTGGAACAGATGGTTACTGTACAAAACGAAAACTACCTTAAGTCAATGAGTTTTAAACCGGGTTAATTATGATAAATAAATGATGACATGTCGAAACAGAAACAAGTGTTTTTCATCAGATGATGAAGAAGATGTTGTTCAAAAGCTCATACAAATAATTACTTTAGTTGTTCATTAAAAGGCCAGGCCTACATATTTATTCCACCTGTGGTTTTCACTGAGTATAGCACGGCTTCCCACCCCCTAGCTCACAGAAAAGATCAGCTTTAGTTTGTGACGGAAATGATGCAGGCCTTTACTTTTCGTTCTAATATTTCATAACACTGACCATTCCTTTGAATACATACATGGCGGTTTGCATAACTTTAAGACTAAGAAAGAAATGTAACCCCTATGTATGAAATAAGTGGAAGCCGCAAGAGCTATAGTTTCGAGTAGCAGGCCTTTAACAAATCCTTCACGATAAGTCATATTCATCAGAAAGTCAAACTGTGTGACATGTCTACATAAAGAACTGAGGATACCCTTTATAGTGCACAAATTAAGTTGAATTCACGGCATGTGTCCACTGAATCAGTTACAATTCACAAGTGTGGTCACAAGTAAGTAGGGATTAACAACAACCAATACATGCATTTTGTCAGTATCACTGATCATTTTAAAGGCATACATTGTTTGTTTGTAATTATTCGGCAAAATTGGCCGGGATAGCCTACGAAAGTCTCTCCACTTATTTCCAGTGATGGTGTCCCTTGATAGAAGATGTGGAAGGAAATTACAGTTTTAGCGATGGGAGGAAAACCCCAGAATTATATTCTAGGAAAAACCCACGGAATCATACGGACTGAAAACCCAATCCACATAATTGGCTCAGGCGGGATTCGAAACCGGGTCAGAGAGGTGCATGGAAGGCGAGGACTGCAGTAACCACTGGGCCAACCTGAATCCCCATATAAAAACGGAATACCTTCTTGATTAGACAGTAAGTGATTTCTCCCATTCTGCTTATTACTTTCACAGCCCTGACTTGACTTGGCGAGATGTCCAGCACATTATAGTCCAGACTTCCAACGTCGATCTCCTCAAGGGAGCCCACGGGGTAACATGGCGCCCGAACGCGGCCGGCCTCAATTTCAGTGAGCACTTCGGCTTCGGAATGCTGGATGCTCAGGCTATGGTCGATCTCGCCAATCCCGACACTTGGACGAGAGTTCCCGAAAAGAGCATCTGCACCATTGAGGCCAGTCACTCATTCGAAAAAAGGTAACTTCAGACTCGTGATGTAGGCTTTTTTAATTGTTAAATCAGTTGAAAATGAAATGGGACGCCAAGATAATGGCGTCATTGAAGAGCCCTCATGCACAACAATGGCTTATAATATACCTTTCTTTGCAAACCCGCGGTTTTGGCCAATCGATGTTTTTTGCCAACCCGTGGTTTTTGTCAACCCGTGGTTTTTGCCAAGCCGTGGCTTTTGCCAACCCGTGGTTTTTGTCAACCCGTAGTTTTTGCCAACCTGTGGTTTTTGCCAACCAGTGGCTTTTGCCAACCCGTGGTTTTTGTCAACCCGTGGTTTCTGCCAACCCATGGTTTTTGCCAACCCGTGGTTTTTGTCAACCCGTGGCTCTAGCCAACCACTATGGAACTCCACCGATGCAGAATTACTGTTTTCTAACATATCATTGGACTGTTGAAAATACAGACATTTTTCTTACACAGTGAGGATGTAAATATGCAATTATTGGCAAAATATGTTGCCAACCATGGTTTAAATGTATACCCTCGTGGCAGCCCATACAAAATTGCGCTCAATGTTTACAAAAATGGTCTACAGAAATCATTGGTACTTACACATATCGCCGTTTTGTGGGCTACTTTTCGATATGTTCTAAAATTCAAGTTGCCATGGTTTCCTACGGAAAATTATTTTGACATGCGATCACTTTTTTCTCGCAGAAAACTCGCGCACGGCCAACCGATCAAGATGGACATTGTAACGGACGGATGCGAGGGGACCAGCGACGAAGTCAAACACCTAGAACACGTGATTTTGTCGGTTACCATCGACTACAGTCGCCGTGGGGCTGTCAATGTACACCTGACCTCGCCATCAGGTAGGTCAAGCTCAAAGGTCAAATATCCACATAATAAATTGACACGTCGCTTCTGACGTCATGATCATTGTGTTTTAGCTCATGTTTTACTTTAACTTCAAATGTTCATTGTTATAAAACCAGGAGTATCGCGAAGAAAAATCTTCATGTTGGCTTCAATAGAACGACAGTGTTCAAAAATGGAATAGTTCAACGTGGCACGAGTTTCTGGAATAGTCTAAGTATCCCTCTTAAAACGTCTTTAACTCTATCTACATTTACCAAAAAATTAAAAACACAACTTCTTACATTTTATTCGTAGTCTGTTAATACTTTGTAAACATACAACAATAGCTTAATGATACTCCTGTTTGTTTGTTTGTTTGTTTGTTTGTTTGTCTGTCATTGTCCTTAGTTCGTACTTAATTGTTCGTCAGTCTGTAAGTGTCAAACGGGTCAGGGAACAAAAGCGATCGCTTCACCCTATCCCCGTGTTGTTATGTGGATTATGTATATATTTTCATTATGTTAATAACGGTGTTGTGTAAAATTACTTCGTATTATATTTTGTATGCTTAAATGTTAACATAACGATTTAATATTTCTAGTGACATAACAACGTTGAAATAAATGTTCAGCAATCAATGAATGTTTAAACGGTTTGTAAGTGTGACGTGATTTCAACTTAAACTCCGCCCACTGCAAAAGGAGTAGCATTGGAAGTTTGGAATCATGAGAATCGGAAGTATTACAAAGTGGTGTGTTCAGCCAATGGGCGCTAGCAATCAGTGGTGCATGCGCGTGTATGACGCAGTCACGGAACCTGGGATAAAACAATAGACCTCCACGTCGAATAATTGCTTATTCACGAATTTTGTCTTAATGTTGTTTCCATTTAGATTATGTTTTTTTCATCGTATTTCAGGCACCATAACAAGACTGCTCACCGAACGTCGAGAGGATGACTCACAAAAAAGCATGGAGCATTTTCCTCTGATGTCGGTGCAGCTATGGGGAGAGCAACCGGCCTTGGGAGATGGAGTCTGGAAACTCGACATCTTTGACTCGGTATTAACACCCAACAATAAACCAGAAGAACATTTGAAAGAGTATTAATCCCTTTGAATATTTAAACTACATCACTGATAAAGACATATCCTGGGTTGAGAGAGGCAAGAGGAGGTTGGTAAAGTGACTTGCCCAAGGACACAACATTGAAAGCCAGCGGCTGGATTCCATCCGCCGACCCGCTGATCATGCGTCACAAACCCCTAATCACTAAGACCATACTCCCGGAGGAAGTCCTCTGCGATTTTAAAAGATTTTGAACCTGTTATTTGTTGCAGACCTCAGGTGAAACGAACGCCGACAACACCGGTTACTTACGTGACTGGAAGCTGGAACTTCACGGGACTAAGGAACTACCGGAGCATGTCAAGCGAGCCGGCGAGACCAAGCAATAGATCCAGCTCGCATCAATGCACCGAATGAGCGCCTCCTGAAATTGCAAACATTATACGCAACACAATATGTGACAGAGGGGTAACCCCCCCCCCCATCTCCCTATACTCTATACGCTCCCTATTAACTATTGTTACCTAACACATCCCCCTAGATATCTCAAAAGAATTCCTGAGATTCTGGTAACCCATAATGACCAACACAAAGAGGGGGTTCCCTCTGTCACGTATCGCGCTACATAAATGTATAAATCACAAGTAAATATCAATTTATTTTGAAAATCTATTTTTCAGGTGCCACACCCAAAAAAGCACGTATTCACCAACTTTAACTTTGGGTGTCATGATAACAAAATAACTAAAGGAAAAATATGAACTCTTCTCCATTAGAAACTGGTAAATTCAACCACATATCTCCTGTAGCTCTTCTTCTTTTCAAAACTATATTTGAGATTACATTTGATTCTACCCTGAATCAAAATGCAATTTCTATCTAAATCTAGAATGTTAGCACATAAGATTATTATTTATTTATTTTTTGCTTTGTGTTTTGTTTTTGTTTATTTACTTATTTGTTCATTTGTGTTTTTTGTTTTGGGAAGAATATTTTATTGTAAAATGCTCTATTTGTTCGGGGAATAATGCTTTATTGTAAAATTACTGGAAAAAATAAGCTTTGCAAAAAAATGCACTCATAACATTTATTTTTCTATATCGGCCTAAGTTATTAACTTTGTTTGGCATGTGCTATATTTTTTGGGTCACTTTGGTTGAAGGTTTTGAAGTACGAGTCAAAACAAAGGCAATGTGTTTGTCAACACAGGCATATTGTGGGAAGTTAGGTTGGCGCAGCGCTAAATGTCTGCGCCTTCCATCCACCGCTGTGGCCCGGGTTCAATTCCTGTCATGGTCCACATGTGGATTGGATATTCAATCCCTGCCTGATTCTGTGGGTTTTTATCCAGAATGTTCTGCTGGGGTCTTCCTCCTACCTCTAAAACTGTAATTAATTTCTTCTCATTGCATTCTCTCTACAGGTTTCTTCGGGCTTTCGAGCTACAGTGCCCATGGCGCTTTTGAGGAATCCTTGGTTTCAATACCAGAAATAAATGAATAAATAATTACATGTTCTCCTTAACAAGATTCTGCCATTATATATTGTGAAGCAAGTTCAAAGAAAAAAATATAGATATATTTTTGCGAATCTGATTCAGGATTTTAAAACGAGGTGCAATAAATAATGATATACCAGACGGTTTGGTAACGAAATCTGTATCATGAGTAATCAATGATTTGAAATGGGGTACGGGTGCAAACCAGAAAATAGCCCCGAAATTGCCTACGCCGGCCAATTCTTCGATATTGAAGCATTTTGTGGGCCATTAACTTGAGGAATTGTTAAAAAAAAAGAAAAAAAGTGGAAGCCGTGCCTAGGACTTTGAGCTTGTATTTCTGTGACGTTTGGATGAAATTGGGCCCTCAAAGCGCTCTATTTTGCAAGGGAGCGTATGTATCGTTTTTCAAAATGGCAATGGGCTTCAGGACTAGTTTAAGGGGTGATCATCTTAATTCGGATGGAAATTTCTCCCAAAAGTCACTTGATTAGCCCCCCCCCCCCCGGAAAATGAAAGATGATGAAATAAGCTTTACTTTGATGTGTGTCTCGAACACCTTGGAGAGTTGTGAGTATTTTTCCTGAATTTCTGAATTTGGGGGCATTTATCATTGGGTAATGGTAGTATATTTACTGGTCTGTGTTCCATGGACTCCGTGCACGCGTACCCAGCTCATCAACGGATACAAGGGAGAATTGGAGGAGAAAGTTTTGGCGCGGTGTTTCCCTCCCAGCGCCCCACCTGGAGCACCGTACGGGGCTGTCGAAAGTGGTCTAGAAGCAAGCACGGAGTCCATATACTGAATCATTATGGGCAAATAATAGTTTGAGGATCAGGCATTCGCGTGTGCAGAACCACGGTCGAACGTCTGATATGCGACCCTGTGCTAGCGAATCATGAAGCCGACTTTAAAAACTGTGACGTCATTTCGATCAGAAATGAGGACTTAAGTATTGAATGGTTAATTTGGATGCCATGTTTTGAAATACAACAACGGGTTACCGAACATGCGAAGACCGATACAGAAGGCGTCCGTTGAGTGGTCAGAAGAATCTCGAGGTCCAGACGCAGTCTTGTTTTGCAGAATTAATCGCCGAATCAGCTGCTCGCATTATCGATCATAGACACTAGCAGGGGGATGTTCCATATATAGGCAAACAATTCCTGATTGCAAAGAAAAAGGGGAGAATTTTTGAATGGCGCGTCGAAACCATCCATGTTGATCAAGTGTGCGCAGTGTTCTCGAAGCTGAACAACACAATGATTGTGTTCGGCCCAGGGCATCGCTATTGCCCCCCCCCCCTAAATAAAAAAAACCTTTCGAATTAAAACAAAGGTGACTATGGGGGCGTGGGCGTGGCCCCCATCGGCCATCTGGGATCGTCGCCCATGGAAAAACGTCCTGGGTACTGAATTTTTTCGAGAACAGAAAAGCATATTTTGATGAATACTTTATTTTTTACCATGCTTATCACAGCAGTTGGTGACTCGTCCTCTAGAGGGGAATGCATTGTTCATCAGGTAGACATTCATTATCAATTACGGAAAATATGTTTTTTAGGTAAATTCAAGGGTGAATCGCGCAATTTGCAGATCCAAACATACGTTAAAGGGGTCAGTCCAACCAAAGAGCAAGGAACTATGGTTCAACGATCATGCATTACCAGCACAGTGTCGTAAAAGTTGGTACCTTGATCCGGTCTGAACTTTTTCTTTCAAATGGGGCTTGCGGTCGCTGCCGAAGTTAATTGAACCTGATGGGGAGTAATAAATAACCGTCTGATATTTTCTACACAAACCCCCGGTGTAGGGGGTTTTGCATAGAAATTTCCAGATACATGTACCAACTTTTACGACAATGTGTTAGTAATGTGGTTATATATCAGGCTGATTATGGCCCGTCTTTTAGAGCTAAAATGTTTTGCTATTGTTAAAAAAGCACTTCCCGTTCTATTTACTAGCTTCAGTTCGAAAACAATGTCCTTTTGTCTAGCGATACAAATTGTTTCGTTTTGGCTCATCAGACATCTAACAATGAGCTGCGGCCAAATAAATACATGTACATGACTAGTTTCTCGTCCTAGCTTTGCCCAAAAAAAGCGGATGCGAGCATTTTTTTTGGCAAACGACGGTGAAATATAATGATGTAACAATACATTCATCAGGAAAATTCATCAGGAAAAGAAAAATAAATTTTGGCGGTCTTCAGAAAGATATATGGAGCCTATATGGACGTACTATGAAGCTCACTCTCCCCCATATGCGTACATCATGTACATGATATAAATACCGTACGCGGATCGTTCAAGAGTGCACACCAGTCCATGAGCTCATGACGAAAAGTTATACCCTGAAAATAGTCTATATTAGCATAGGCGTAGCCAGCAGGGGGGGGGGGGGGGTATCTAACCCCCCCCCCAATACTTTGTAAAGACTGCCCTTTTCCAAGTTCACATGCCCTATTTTCAATAGCGTTTACTATTTGTAAAAAATGCCCTTTTTGTTTACGAAGTGCCTTTTTTTCTGAACAAAAGCACCATATACGGTCCGTTAGAGTGCATAATCATCGGTTTTCAACAACGCCCCACCGACAGATTGTACCAGCCCCCCCCCCCCCCCCCCCCCCGCTTTTTGATTTACGGAGGCCAAGTGTACGTTTCACCACGGATGTGCAAGTGCCCTTTTCAAAAAAATTACTACCCAATCAAAATGACCGTGCTTCGCCCCTGATTAGAGAGCTCTGAGAGCCATCAAGTTAAAGTTGAAGGAATATGGCAATGAACCTCTGGCCCGGACTTAGGGCTTCCAATTCTGAACATTTTGGAAGCAATTGGGCTCGAAAGTGCGTTTTTTTGCCATGTTGTGGAGGGATCGTTTTTCAAGATTGCTACTTCCCGCTTGGGGAGGAAATGGGGGTCGTCTTCTTTGGGTGAGAATATCTCGAAAAGTCAATGGTCAACCAACCAAAAAATGAGAAGAAAATGAAAGCTGACATGTTGATTATCATTTTTTTGTGCAGCTGAAATACCTGTGAGAGTTCTGAGTATTTTTAAAAGAATTTTGAAGTAAGGGCATTTTAGCACAAGTGTCTATGGGAATTTTATTGCAGAGGGGTGAAACCATGGAACAAGCTGGACGAAAAAAAGTAACAGCGACCTCTGTTGGTCACATCTTGTGTTTTCGTGTGGTTCCCGATCGCGTTTCGCTAGTTGGGTACGAGCGAATACTTCGAGTCTGGAACCAGTCTAAATCCCCGTCTAAATCAATGCAAACCCCTGGCGGGCGCTATTTATGTCATAAATAATTTAGGCCTATATCGATCTCGGAACGGAACTAGAAAAGCACAATCCATGCAATCTGTTCAGTTCACATTCTCACGAAACGCTTCTCTCGGCGTTAAATGGTTTAGTGCTATCGGCCTATGCACGGTCACTTAAAAATCATCAACAATAAGCCTACTTGAAAATTATAGGGCAACTTTGCGACGGGACTGAGACTAGAGTGAGAGAGTCGTGGTTTCATAAATTTCACTGGTTATCAAGTAGTTATGGTATGTGTTGCCATGGCTACCAATAATTAAACTAGTATTTCTATTTTATTCCCAGTTTTGTTTATAATTTATTCTGTAGATATCTATTGTTCACATTTTAAGGAAAGAATTTAGTAAACTGAGTATCAAGACTGACCAGAGACAACTTCTTTTTGTTTTTGGGGTGAAATCTGAACTGAAGCCTGAAGGATTTTGATTGGGGGTACGAGTGAAAATGGTCAAAAAAATTATTGGTAAACGAGATACAGCTATCAATCTCGGACTCTACTATCGCCCGACCATATCCAAATGTTAAAAAGGCGATTCATTGAGTCTTAGTTACTCGGACTTCACTTTTACAGCCTCAGTATTGCTGCTCTGTACGTTAGGCCACACGTCTGGTTTCCCAACCTACTGAGGAGTTTAGTCCGAAACTGGCGCATATGGACTCCAGAAAGATGTCTAAATTTCTCAAAGGCAAAAAGATGAGACATCATAGATGATAGAATACAACTGTATGCAGTGGTACGTAAAAAAAAATGCCAACAAAATGTGCACTAGTTTCTGACTAAACTCCTCAGTAGGTTGAAAAACCAGACGTGTGGCCGAATGTACAGCGCAGCAATACCGAGGCCACACAAATGGGGCTTGATTTGAAATGCATTTTTTTCCTTTTTAGAAATGATGATCTTCCGATGTGAGCATCTGCCAAACAGTTAAAAAAAATACCTTGGTGCTGGGCACCGTCTCCGATAATGGCCAGATACCCGAGCGGGGCCAGTTACCCCCCATACACTGGGAGGACAGGGATAGCCCAAACCACCCTCGTCAGTTAGCCAGTAACAAGCAAGCGTTCTTCGGGAGTCGAGGGTCGCCATTGTTTGAGGATAGTCCCTACAGCGCTATGGTCACCAGGGCGTCACTGTTGGAGCATGACTTTGCCAGTAATGTATCCAAGTTTCACTTTTTGCTTTTCAAGTTTATTTCATACCTCCTCATTGGTTTGAGGGAGGGTTTAGGGAGACCACTGGGAGGAACATTCGAAAGCATTGCTGACGACGGCTGACGCTTGTACGAAGACGCTTCTGGTTATGGGCATACTTGGTTGTGCACCTTCAGAATACAATTAATCCTGCGTATTTCGAGCAATACCTGTGCGAACTGGTATAGTGTGTCCCTCCCAATAGGGCTTTCGAAAGTGGTTACATCTACGGTCTTGTAACTTTATTTCTGGTGTGGATGTAAACTAACAAAAATTGGGTGTTGAAATACATGGAAACTATAAACATCTGAAAATCCCCAGGTTTTTCCCCTAATGTTAATAACTAGTATGCAAACAAACCAGAAAAGAAATAATGAAACAGTCTTTCTCACCAAACCAAAAAATAAAATCCAGGTGTGTATTCCACAGGGGGTTTATAGGGACCAGGATACAGCCTAAGTATTTGGCACCCATTTTATAGGGCTACCCCCTTCACAAGGAAATCATGACTACATGAGGTTGAATTCCAAGTGATTAATTTCAACCAAGGTCAAGGAGGGGTCATGTCATCATGGCAAGATAAACACGCCCAGGCCGTCCTGCAGGACTACATTCACACTGTGACAATGGCCATCAAGAAAATCAGCAAAGAGATGGAGGTGAGCACAATTGGTCGTGATTGTAGATAAACAAAAATACAGAGTGAGTCAAAAGGAAAGTGACCAATTGGAAAAATAGTATTTTTTTAAAATATGCGGCTCGCTCCATTTCATAAAAATAATCTAGGGATAAAGTACATGTTATTGACTAGTAACTGTGAAAATTTCATGTAATTTGCATACTCTCCTTCAAGCTATGTCTATTTTTTAATTAAAAAAATCACAAAATTCAGTTGTCTAACAACTGACCACGAAAACATGTAAAGGAAAACAGACAAAATCGCCATCAATATTTCAGAGTTGACTTGTTCCTCATATTCAAAGCACAAAATCCCACAGTAAAAATAATGTTTCAGTCTTGCCTGAAATGTTTAAAATCTCAATTTGTATTTGAATTCCATTGTGAAATCTGTGATCTTTCATCCCATCCAAAGTCAGCTCACAACGTATTCAAATGAACTGTGACAAATGAGATCCTCTGTCATTGTTCATCCCCGTAACATGTGACTGAACTTGAGAAAAAACAGTCATCTTTACTCCTCTTTAATTTTTTTTTTTTAAGTGAATTTTGTTGGATCTGCTGATGAATATGCACATATGCAAGTCTCTTGGTTGTTCTTACACTTACAGGGTATTGAAGAGCAGCTGCTCAACAGGGAACGAGCCTCTGAACACACAAGCAACTCACTGAAAAGCCTAGAACTACAACATGTAGGCTCTATCAATGATCTCAGGCAGAGAGTGGGCAGGTACGTTGACAATTCATTAACTTGTTTTATTTTGTTTTTGCGGCATTGAAATCAAAAGGTTCTTTGACATCATTCAGTGCTTGGAAACTCTCTTCATTACATACACATGTACAATCTATGTACTGAACTGCTGTGGATTTGGACCCTTCAAAAGAGATTCTACTGTAAAATGTTTGTATACCGAAGTGAAATAGTTGGTGTATGATGTCGAGCCTCAGATACAAGGTGTCAGGCAAACTTGGAAATGCCCCCCCCCCCCCCCCCCCCCCCTCCCCCCGGATATGGGGATCTGAATAAAACTCTCAACTGGATGGGCGTTCTGTGCAGTTGTATGGACTTGTCGTGTTGATACTACCATATTGTTTGAGTTACAACAGATGACAGTTAATAAAGTTAATACATGGTTCATATTTGAAATATGGAATTAAAATTAGTCTTATTTTAAACCTTACAGTGAATCGTCTCATGTAGTGTCGTGGCCTCGTGGTCTGGAGCATTGAATTTGTGGTCTGTGGGTAAATCTGCAGGTTGTGGGTTCGAATCCAGCCTTGGGTTTGTGCCTCGTGTGCCCTTGGGCAAGGCACTTGGCCACTCATTGCTTCTTACCTCCCAGGAGTAGATGGGTACCTGTGAGGGCAGAGATTGCGCACTGTGGTTGATTCTAGCTGCTTTGCTCGGGAATGGCAGCACCAAGCTGTCTACTCCCCACGGAGCTGAGATGGTCTTCGGAATATTTCATTGGCCCAGTGAGCAGGGGTAATAATGACTCTTGTACAGCGCATTGGGACCTTGTGTAAAATGTGCTTTATAAGCACGTTTATTATTATTATTATTATTATTCCCCACACCTCATGAGAATTTTTATGGCAGTGATTTGTTCGTTATGAATAGATGTGATGTATCGATAGCCAAGTTGTCTGGAGATTCACGCAGGATAACAGAGTCGCTTGCAGCCATCAATAAACACATGCAAGACAACAGCGCACATGCAGGAAAGGCAGTTACTGACTTGCAGACAGAGGTAACAATTGAGTGAAAAGCAAAAGCGTATAGGGGCAATTCCACGTTACTCACGTTACATTTTTGATGTAACCATGAGTTTCTTTTACCGAGTTTCTTTTACCGAAAAGGTTTAATAACTGTTATCCCCATGGTAGATAGAGTAGACCTAGACCTACCTAAGCACCAAAGATGACATCCAGAAAAATGTGTTATGTATGATAAACAAGACGCACAAAATTGGTTACTCATGTTACGAAAATGTAACGTGAGTAATCGATTTTGTGCATCTTGTTAATCATACATAACACATTTTTCTGGATGTCATCTTTGGTGCTTAGGTAGGTATAGGTCTACTCTATCTACCATGGGGATAACAGTTATTAAACCTTTTCAGAAAGGTAATTACAGCCCAAGAAAACTCAAAAGTACATCAAAAATGTAACATGAGTAACCGTGGAATTGCCCATAGGATCATTTGCTGTTTTTGCATTTGTTTCCAATAATTTTGTTTCCAATGACAAACAGGGCGCAGCAGTCACTAATTGATTGATTTTGACTGCTGGGGCCGGAGGGGGGATGGTTTTGTTGAATTTGCCAGCCAGAGAGGGAGGGAGGGTGACAGCTAAATGCATTCAGTCTGGTCACAAACAAATCACAAGTCATTTCACAAGCCCAGTCACAAGTAACGGGGGATAAACAAGAATAAAGGGAATGTGATTATTTACAAGTTGACTAGGGAGTGGATGTCTTGTGATTGACTTGTGATGGACTTGTGATGGACTTGTGAAGGACTTGTGGTCTATCACAAGTACAGTTGTACCTAAACTAAAACACTGATGGTGCATTTGGATGGTTATATTTTCTAGATTTCTAGACTTGAGACCCAACTGGTCAAGAACACCTCCGAGCAATACTCACAAGCAGGCTCGATAGAAGCCGAGACCAAACACCAAGTGACTCTCCTGCAGACAAAGACCCAGAACCGATTAGAGGAACTGCAGAGGATGCTGGACACGCTGCAGATGAAGAGGGATTCAGACTTGCAGCTGATGGAGAGAAGCATGAGGACCATGGTGGAGTCTGCCGTCAGTAAGAGGGACAGTAAGCAGGTGAGACAGCAGCGGCAGAACGGTTTCACCAAAAAGGGGCACTTGCACATCCGTGCTGAAATGTCGACATGTTATTTTCACCGGACACTTGGCCTTGGTAAAATCAAATAGTGAGGGGGGGGGGGGGGGGGCTGGTAACATCTTCCAAAATAGGGGGCACTCTTCAAAACCTGCCATTTTCAGGGTGCATTGTAAGGGTTTTGGGCAGTGATGTAGTGCCTTGATGCTGGGCCTTGGCCTTAAGGCTGCCTTAAGGCTGGATTTTAGGGCCTTGGCCTTGGCCTCGAGGCTTGAGGGCAAAAGCCTTGGCCTTGGCCTTGGCCTTGAGGGTTCAGGGCCTTGCAATTTTGAGTCAAGGCTCTTCAAGGCCCATAGATTTTTGCATTTTCCAGATAAATGTTACCATTTTAATCGTATTACCATGGAGGAGGGAAGCACCCTATAGATTTGTGTGTTGGGCACACTTCCACTTTTATAGCATCATATTTTGTTACCATTGTAGTAGATTTGCTGCAAAAATATTCCGTACACTTGTGGGGCTAATGAGATGATCACTTTAATTGCATATAACTGTGGAATAGATCTGATTGGTTGTATATGTCTCCCTGATAAGTGCTAAAGATTTGCATGTATCTGTTTTAGATAATGCTGATATTTCTGACCATGTTGGGCCAGCAAATAAAAATTTCCCAAATCAGTTTCTTGGATCCCCCTTTTGTTACACTTGGGAGAATTGTGTGTCAATATAGAAGTAAATCATTATTTGTTTAGTTAAACCATATTGAAGACCTGAACTTATACTTTAATAGATACAGTGCAGTCATAAAACGGTGTACATGTAGGCCTATGCGAGCATGTTGATTGCAATTAGAGAAATGTTGTTCTTCGTAACGAGCAATTCGTGATGATAAGGGCGGATCCAAGGGGGTCAAAAGGGGCCATGCCCCCCCCCCCCAAAAAAAGGAACCATTTTTTTTAATGTGACGTTGTAATAAAGGCAGGCAATGAGTACACCACCATCTTTTCCTCAAAAAAACATCGGTTAAAATGGTCAGAAATTGTCTCAAATCGCACCACAGAGCATCTTGAATCCAAAATTTTTCCGAAGCCCAAGCTGTAATTTTTTGACCCACTTTTTTTGGGGGGGACCAAATTCCCCCCCCCCCCAAATTGTGTTCTGGATCCGCCCTTGCGTGATGATGTGTCACTCATGTGACTATAATTAGTTCTATATCAGTGGTCATTTCATAAAACAGGGCCTTGGCCTTGGCCTTGGCCTTGAGGGTTAAGCCTTGGCCTTGGCCTCGAGGCTTGAGGGTCAAAGCCTTGGCCTTGGCCTTGGCCTTGAGGGTCAAAGCCTTGGCCTTGGCCTTGGCCTTGAGGGTCAAAGCCTTTGCTCCAACACTGGTTTTGGGGCTTGGTTTTCATATTCCTCGTTCATATCAGAACTTTTTATATCATTTTGGGAAATGGTTACTGAAAACAAATTATCCGAAATTTTAGGGCCAGTTTTGTTGTCATCTAAAGGGGGCACATTTATGTCCGCAAAAGGGGCACTTGGGTAAATCTGGGAGGCAAGTGCCCCCTAGCCGCCCCGGTTCTACTGCCCTGAGGTGAGACGTGTGTGTTGACCCGAATCATAAAATGGGACTGAGGAGGGGAAGGGGGCTGGGTCCTGAATCCCTCTTCCCCGTAGATTTTATCTGATATCATTTCTGTCCGCATCGTTTTCATGCTGGGCCTTCATTCATTAATAGACTGTGCTACGGACATTTGACACCTGTTTCATAAAAAATGGATGAAGAGTTTGCACAAATGTCAAATTTTGACTTGGGGTAGCGAATTTTTTTTGTTTTCTATCACCCTTGTGTACGAAAAAAAAACGTTCATTCCAATCTAAAACTTTGCATAACTATAATGAAAGTCTGTACTAGCTTACCAAATTTCGCAATGTTTTTTTTGTTGCATTTCATAAACAGGCATGCAACTGGGAAATCACAAAAAAAGAGGAAATTCACATTTTTCCTAGACTTTGTACAGTGTTTTTCTATTTTCAATGGCACACATGGGAAGTAAAAAAAGAGGAAATCAGCTGATCCGAGGAAAAGTTGCATGCCTGCATAAACAGAGGGGCATAGGATTCCCCCCCCCCCCTTCCCTCGGCAAAGGGTATAACGTGATCAAGAAATGCCTTTATCACAGTTACATGTAGTTTGAAAAGCTTGCCATTTGACTCGCGGCCAAAGGACATTTGATAAACAAAGTAAGAAATTGACAACCCAACTACCTCCGATTACAAAAATAAGATTTTCAGATTGTACAGTAAACTCACCATAGTTTTTCTTGACACTACAGGACTTCTTTGAGCAGAAGATATTGAACCGACTGGAAGAAGTCGACAAGAAGCTCATTCTGCAAGAGGGGACCATCCAAACCATGTCGGACGAGTTACAGACTTTACTGAGTGAGAAAATAAGGAACCTTGAGGCGCGACTGTACGAGCGACAGGGGGCGCTAGAAGATGACGTGAAGCGAGATCTGGGAGGGATGTCAGAGCAGAACGAGAATGGGTTCAAGAGGGTGAAAGACAGCATGGCCACGATGAGGATAGTCTTGGAGGGCAAGCAGCAACTCCTGGCTGAGAACCTTCAGAAGCAGGTGGCTAACGTCAAGAAGCTGGTAGTCATCACGTAACAACATCAAAAGTCTGGAAGATTATTCAGCTGATATTGTTCAGTCTGGGCTTATGCATTACACAGTCATATAACCTTTTCTGCGATCCACAGATGTCTTCTTTGTAGCGTTTGTCTGCATTGTCTGTCACACATACTGTACAAGGTTAATACATAAATGTTGCAAGTCAGTGGCACTTTGGGTGATGGATCTGTCGCACGTAGCTACATTATGGGCTCAACTGGAGACCTGCAGCAAATTTCACGAAACTTTGCGCAAAAGTACGCAACTCCATATTTTATTGCGCGAGTCGCACAACATTTCACGTTGTACATTTTGTTAAAGTTGTAGTTTTTACACAACAAATTATGGCTTAACTTACGCAATAATTTTAGGTTGCATATAACACATGTAGAATGTGGCGTAGCTACTGAAAATTGTCTATTTTACTGTTTATTCGTGATTCTTGTGGAGCCTGTTATTGCTCAACTTGGTTAAGGTTGATACAAGAAATTCGGAGCTTTGATTTTCGAAGTAAATAAATTGCTATTTTAACCATGACAACACTTTTAGAGTTGCTGAACAATTCCGAAAAAAAGTTGGACAACTTATTTCCAAACTGGTGAGCAAAGTTGATGAAACGACTGTTTAAACGCTGTCTAGCATCAAAATAAGGGGAGAGGGAAAGAGAAAAATCAGAAGAAAAACAAAGGCTTTCTCGGATGTTGTCCGGAAAAGCCAAATTTAAAAGCTCTGGTTGCCTGAGGAAATTTCTTGGAACAGATTGAGATACATCTTAAACCACATTTTATAGTTATTAATGGGCAGGAGCCAATATTAGACTCCTCTCATAGACCGCCATTTCGAAGGAATATTACAACTGCGTATTCAACGCCATCAAGTGCGTGTACGCGGTGTGTAAAATGTTCTTAACACGTGCGCCTGTTTCATAAGAAGTTCAAGTTCTTCGAAATACAGCACAGCCGATACGCGTCACGAAGATTCGACTCCCAAAATGCCGATGCGCGTGGCAATTTGTAGGCAATGATGTTATGTTAGAGTGATCTATGCGTCTTAAATCTAAAGAATCCAAGTTTTAAAAAATGTATTTATGCATCCCTCTGTAAAAAAAAACAAAAACCAGAAGTAATACTAACTCAAAGAAATAGAGTGAACCATCTCACACAAGTGCATCTATAAATTTGTATACTTGTACATAATTTATTTTTTGTTTAAATACCAACTCTTTCAATCAAATATATATTTAGCTAGCTTCAACTTTGTGCTGGATTCAAATGTTTTCTTAATTTTTGTCCAGACAACTCCTTTCTTGGTGCCTAATTGAAACATGCAAATCACAAGTTGCCTTGAGTGATAGGTCACTTGCAATAAAAATGAAATTCTGTTCCTAATGAATTAAGGTCCATTAGATCTCGCGGGTGATGTACACATTCATTTCAAAATGAATAGGTCAAAACTCCAGAAAATGTAATTACCTTTATGGTAATGATTTATAAAATAATTTATTGACTAGTTTATTTTATTATCACATAGTACGAGACTTCAAATTCATATGAAACTCCTTTCTATAGTGTCAAGTGTGTGTTTTGTTAAAAAGTTAATTAGCAAGTTTCCTAGATTGCATAATATGCATTAATTGTACAAAATGAAAATATATTCAAATTAGATGCTTTATAAATGCAGTTTTGTACTTTCTATATTACATGGATTGTTTTCCAATATGTTTTAATGTAATTGTATTTTCATGAATTAGATCAGATTAAAATATGAAAAATTCGAATCCACCCCTTGATTTCATTCTTAGTACTTTTTAACTGATAAGTTAGTGTATCACCCAGCTGTAATACTCCCTGTAGCTCCTGAAAGTGCCCCAGCACTAGTTCCCAGTGCCACCAACCCCCCCCCCCCCCCCCCCCAAATCTGAAATTTGCTGCTTGCCAAAGAAGTGTCTTTAAAGTTTTCAAAGTCATGGTACTTTGAGTTATTAAAACGAAGAGGAATCTAGAGTACTATTTTTGGCTTTCCTCAACAGTACAGCTTTAATGTGAGTAAGTTGATAAAAAAGCACACCCTCCAGCTTCAAAAGAGGTTCAAGACCCCCCCAACAGGAAAAATCATGAAATCAGGAATCTTCTGACAAATTTCACCTCCGATGAACAGGCACAACTTAAATAACAAAACACATCATCACTCCATCTCCAGTGATCAGATGTATATCCTTTCTAGTAGCAATACAGGGTCAATTCTTTGAATTTCATGACGGGTGAAGGAGTAGGGGCCCAATTTCATGCAGCTGTTGAGCTTTGCTATGCACAGAAACATACTGGCTTCGCCACAAACTGGTTGCAGGTCCGAAATGTCGTTTAATAAATCCTGGCTTGGATTGGTTCACGGCCGATTCTTGCTCAGTACAAACATTTTTGCCACTCGGTTGAATACGCCATAGAAGTGTGACGTCCCGCGGGGTCATCTCCACTAGTGATCGGTCCAAATAATGTCTCGTCCGCCATTTTTCCCATAGGATTTGCACGGGCGATTTACGTGAACAGTTTCTAGTTGAGATTTCTCAGACATTAAGAATAAATCAGACTGGAAAATGGGCGGTGCTTCGTAGCTGACTGTATTCATCAATCAGAACGTGACGTTCTTTTTTTTTTCAATGGATGAAAAGCTCAAATTAGGTTTTGCCCTTCAGCGACGTATAAAACACTGTTTACTCAGTGTGTTACCTCCCGACTTTCAGCAGAAGAGCAACTGCTTGGGAGATGAACCGCAGTATTTCAAGCAGTGCAACGTCCTTCCACATCAGATTCACAATTGCACATTCCCTGTTAACTTCATCAGAGTTTTTTTCGGTTATAGCATTTTGACCTCCAGAGTCCAAAGTCACTTCTCGACATTCACATTTTTTCATACGACAATGTATGCTTACATGATGTACAAGTCTTGGAATACATGTCACTGTCTTCATCATAAGCCTCTGGTCCGTAAGTGTGCGTATGACTTTGGGTGTCCTTTGTCCAGAGGCTGGAACGCACAGCTCGCCTTAAGTCTGTAGGGAAATTTCACAATTAAAAGTAGTAATTAGACAAATCAGAGAAGTCAAACATTTTTCAATTATTATGGACTCAGGTGGAAACAGTCGACTGGTTGTGAAAACAGTGTGCATACCTTTCAGATAAAATGAATTACATAGACTTTGTGCATGTGCATGAGCAAAGGCTCAGCACAAAGTATATATGCCATTCATTGCATCCGAAACCTGTGCGTCTTCTGCCAGGCAATATATCTAAAAACATCACCTTTAACCCTAACAATCCCCATCCAGTCAAACTCCAACACCAGAATTTGTTGGAATCTGTTGGAGTGAGTACTGCACTAGTAAACTGAGTATGCTTTACATGCGGTTAGGCATACCACCAATTATCAGAGTCCAACAGTGTTTGTGTACAGTTTACCATATGGTGTTGGAATTTGAAGGAGTGAGGAAGGTTCGTAGTAAATCACTCAAGGGGGGTTAGGGGAGTACTTGTACATTGACTACACACATGTAAATTATTTAAGGTACTCAGAAAAGAGATTTATTCACATGGTGCTACCGCAAACTTATCTTGTCTTAGTATCTTTCCACCATGCAAACCTTCTAATCTCATATTAAGGTTTATGTTTCTTTGCATACCAAATTGTTTTCATACATGGTGGGTTTTTTATATTTAAGGGCATGAATAAAATGCCTGAAAAACCCAAACATCTTATTGTGAACAAAAATTCCAGCCTTCATCACTTGTGGTCCAATAATGCATTGGGTTTAATGCTTGGTTGAAGACGGTGAATTTTAGTTATTCAATATTTTCAGTCTCATGTCCCTATAAGAAAAGATATCCACGATGGAGCAGATGAGTTCAGTTTATTCTGAGAACTGGATATCCTTCAAAACCAATGTAAACATTGTAATAATTTGCGACACTTACTCTGGACTTTCTTGTCAAATTTCTTTTGTTTGGCCTTTTCCTTGTTTGCCTCCCGTTCTTCCCTTGCTTCTTCTATCTTCTCTGAACTTCCCCAGATCTCAAGGGCCCGTTTCTCAACCTGAATGGACAAAAACAATTTATGTGTTTAATGTCATCTTCCAGTTTACAGCAGTGATGTTGTGACAGATCCCAAGTATGTCAAAAGTTTGGTCAGAAGTAAATCACAAGTCAATCAGGGGTGTGAGTGACCACTGATAAAAATAGCTGAAAACAGCTGAAAAAGGCGTAAAAAAACCTGAACTTTGGAAATCTCCTATACTTTTGTACACAGCAAGTGAGGGAAAAAAGCTGAAATCCGGCCAAAAAAAAAGCTGAAATCAGCTTTAAAGCTGAGATTTCACACCCCTGTTAATTCATGACTCCAGTTACAAGTAACAGAGGATGAACAGACAAAGAAATGACTTCGTCTATAGTGCTGGGTGACAAAATAAAATTGCTGTAATATGATTTGGAAAGAATGTTACATGCATCCTGATTGCAATCGGAGCAATTTCAACAAGGCCAGCCCAGCAGTCCGCAAAGTAAATTGAGTGACTGTTTGTAACAGTTGAGTGCTCCCTGCCTTCATAAAGCAGGATTGACTGGCTGTAATTGTTATGAAACCTGATATAGCTATGCTTTGACTGTAGGAGGTTGATAAGCTAGTAGCCAGCTGTGCCTGTTAACTGCTTTTGTCTTTTGAATGGTATTTGATTGTCGCAGTGCCTACAAGAAATGTGATGTGACTGTTGGTGACCAGGCTGTGTAAAACACATGGCAGGGGAACAGGATCCATTTTTTGTCTTTGACTGATCCAATGAAAGGAGGGTTGAATATCATACCTGTAAAGCTAAATACAGCTTCATTTCTCCCCATCTTGGGTTGTGTGGGTTCTTCCTGACAATAAATTTCAGAGCAGGTTCTCTTCTGTCAAGATCAGCATCTTTCAGCAGATACAACTGTTTGGCATCGGTCTTGGCAATGAGAGAGTGCTTGTCTTCAGTGTCTCTGCACATAAAAAACCATAATATGAATAATGGCCAGTAATCGATGCCAAATGACCAAGCGCGTCAATCGTTTCTCAAAAGTGTGGGGGGGGGGGCATACCTTGATCAGAACTAATGCGAGCGTGAAGCGTAAACCCCTAACGGTGCTGGGTTGGGGAAGCGGGCCCCAACATTTTTGGATTCTAGATGCTCTGTGATGCGATCTGAGGCAATTTTCTGACTACTTTAACCAATATCTGGTTGGCAACAGATTTTTAAAAAACATTTCAACATTCTTTTTAGTTTGGAGTCATGAAATCAGCTATTATGAGCTATAGCATCAACTGTAGGCTACAAGTTTTATTCAGGGATGAAAAAAGTGGAGGGGGGGGGGGACCAAACGATATGACATGGGCCCCCCTGGCCCACTATAAAAAGTGGGGGCACACGCCATCCCCCATGCAAATGACAAGTGGAACTAAAACTTTCAGCAAATGTACTCACTTGCACTCGTCGCACACTTCATATTCAAAATGTGCATAGATGTACGAGTCTTGAAAGCCCTTTGTGCATTCCACACATGTTAATGGTGCGCCACCCAGGAGGGGACCTAGAAAGAAAAGAAACAATATCAGCATCAACTTGAGACATTGTGTTCATTCAGGTAGTTTGGATGATTTGCCACTTCAATGTTTAGGTGCTAGTTATTCCTTTAGCGAGCATGGATCACAGAATAATTCATGTTATGCATCTATTGTCCCATATGCCACTCGGCCAACTATGGAACATGCTAGTCAGGTAATTGTGGGATTTAGATCCGACTTTTTAAAAAGTCGGTTTGAATTCTACTATTCGGTTTTGATGTTGGAAACCATATATTCGATATATCATTGTATAATTTGTTTTAACCTTAAAAAAATTAAGCCTTCAATTTTTTGTGATGCAAGCTAAAGAAAACAACCGTAACATTCCCCAATTTGCTCCATGGTCTCTGATTGTAACTGCATTCAATTGCTAGTGGTCTTCTTGGTATATGAATAGCCTGCCCATTCAACTTATCAGAGAGTTCCCATCCATTTTTTGCACCATTACAGCTCTTGAGTGTTTTTGTACAGGCCCGGTGGTCATTAAATCCTGCAAAGTATGCCAAGTCTGTGGGAGGGCATTTCATGTGGCACATCACTCGTCACTTTTTGTTGGCACGACTGTGAGCTGCATGGGAGCTTCCGGTGATATCAGATTACCATTACTCGGTTTGAAAAAAAATGAGGCTAACTGGATTTTGAAATTTTCAATTTCTCCCACCACTAGAACACGCACTACATTTTTGTCTTATTCCATCAAGCAAAATCATCAGCAACTTAAAGTTGCAATCTTTCTGCTGTGGCCACCTTTGATTACAGTGATGAAAAAGTGCGCATTAAGCCCGGTTCATACTCTGCCCGAAAGCGAAAGCGAACGCGAATTTGTGACGTCGTGGCAAGTATTCGCGCTGCAAATTCGTAAAAGTTTAACATATTCCAACTAAGACAAATTTCACAGCGAATGTTTTATGACGTCAAATTCGCTTCACGTTCACATGAAGTATGAAGTGGGCTTTACATCAAGAAATGACGTTAGTATATTTACCCGGCTCATGGACGATCTTAGCCTGGCCTGATTGCTCTTCTTCTGGTTCGTCCTCCAACAGGAATCCTGCCCCTGTATCAATCACTCGACCTAAGGAGGTTACTTTCTCGGCCCTGAAGAGAAAAGAAAAATTAAGAAATAAGGTTTTTTCCCCCTAAAGTCAGCTTCCTCTCATCAGAGAATTTTTTTTTGAAACTGAAGTAGACCTATCATCAATTTTTGGCTTCTGCGCATGAGTCAGAGCTGCCAACATTTGCATCTTGCAATCAGGGAGATTTTGTACAACAATCAGGGACATATTTAGAATTACATTCAATATAACAGGGAAAAAGTTTCCATAATCAGGGAGATTTCAAATTTGTTCATCAGAACACGGAAAGATTAGTTTATTTTCCAGGACCTTTCTGCAGAATCAGGGAGAGTTGGCAGCTCTGATGAGTACATCCCACAACTAAGGATTCTGTGCTTACAAGTTACTGGCTTACTGCAGAATATTTCTGCTAGCGCTGTCAATGCAAAATGGTGATAGTAAGCAAAGAATTCTGTGTGATAAGCAGAGTCATGAAATTGGGCCAAAGGACAGTGCATTAGGCCTACAAAGACTACAACTGCACACACACCTATCTGTTGGTTTTGTCTGGGGGTAAGGCCTACTGGACAGCCTTGCTTGGCGTAGTAACAGCGCCCTCTGCCTGTTCTTCTCAATCTTTGCTCGCTGGGCATCGCTAAGGGTAGATTTGCCATCCGTATCCGACATTATTCGTTCATGTGTCCTGAAATAAAACAAAAAGATTATAAAATTATTAATACAGGGCGAGTCAGCTCTGTCCCCCCCAAAAAAATATATACATATATCGCCTACTGGAAATAATGTATTCCTGTGCACAAAATATGGACCGAGCCACCATGGTTTAGGGGTATTTGGTTTAGGTACACTATTTTGTAAATGTAATGAGGAAAAGTAAAAAAAATTGTCCGATTTGAACAGCGCCCCCATTAAAAGTATGGTACGAGCCCCCCCCCCCCCCCCCCCCCCCCCCTTTAACCACCCTATTGATTTTCAGAAGCAAAGTGTTCGGAGAAAAAAATCTGTCTACATTTCAGAATTTTTGCTGATGAACCCCCCCCCCCCCCCCGAAAATTCCTGGATCCGCCCCTGCTTGAGTCTAAACCACCAGCTTGTCTCGACTCCTCGACTCCCAAATTTTCGGACTAGGCCTAGTCACCTATAGGTCAAACTTACTCGGACTAACCTAGTTCGTATCTTGTCTTGTCTGGTACTCTGGTAGTGGTACTGCACAAATCGCCTCAGGATATCATGGTCGAGGCACTGAGAATTGAGAGAGAAGTTATTTAACTCGAACCGGATTGAAAATGTCAGCAAGTGCAGTGATATTGCGCCCTCTATAATTATTTTGTAAACTAAAAAATACTGTAAGATAACAAAAGAGGGCGCTGTAATATACTGGCGCACGCAAAGGCACGTGGGAAAGATGCAAAGTCAAATCTCGCAATCAAATCATGCATGTCACTATTTGTCAGTTTTCATGATGGATGAAGCCCTACAATTTCGGAGGTGGAATGCATGTTTACTAACTTTTTTGGAAAGAATGTTGCAACCTGACGCTACTTCAGCGGTTGTGTTCAAAGTCTATGGAGAGTCAAGACAATTTTCTGATGTATTTCCTAACAAAATTGGAAATGAATCTCAGTCCCAGATTCATCATTGTTCAAGTCTTGACAAAATGCTTGCCTTGAGTCTTGAGTGCTTGACTCAATCATCAGTCATCACTTTTGCAATGCCTGACCTTCATTGTCATTGAGCTGATCTGCTGATGAGAAAGCTGCATCAGGTTGCAACATTCTTTCCCTTTTCATGCCTTTAATTTCTTGTGTGAGGTGGAGAGTGTAATGGAAAACCATTTAGGCCTATAGGCCTATTAATTTCTGAAGTGTGAATAGGCCAACAATTAACATGCTAAATAAAGGATTCTGCTAATCAAAATATCGTAGCTTCAACGGGCATGACGGGTACAGAACTTAGAAGCATAGATCATTTTCTTTTCTCTTTGTACAGTGTCATATGATTATTTCCCCTTTAACCTCCAATACGTTTAATTTAACATCATAATGCCGTGCAGTGTTTGTTAAGATTGCACAAAATTCATAAATTCAATTATTGCGCAGGTAATATTCCCACGCAATCTTAAAAATGAGCGCTCATTCTTCAGATTGCGTGCTCATTTTTAAGAATGCGCGCTCATTCTTAAGATTGCGCAAATTGCAAGAAAGCGCACAACAGTGCCATGCGAAGCAGCGCGCCTTGCGCGGTCACGGTACATCGCGGTGATCGCCATTCTTAATTTCATGTTGCATTAAATATCATTATCATCGTCATTTTAGTTATCATTTTTACCCCCAAATTTCCCTAAAAAATTCAAAATCCTGCCCTCTAATCTATGACATGCCTGTATTGTCACCACATTGTTTGGTAAGCCAAATAAATTAAAAGTTGATTTATTCTCTTGTAGGGAACAGGGCCCCTAACTTCACGATCGCTAATCAATTGACCACCCCTAGATCGGCCATATAAACCCCACCCACTTTTGATCGTGACCATGGTGACAGAATATGACTAAGCTAATTTGACCAAAAGCCATGGGGCCAATTTCATAGAGCTGCTTAAGCACAAAATTTGCTTTAAGTTTAAGCACAAAAACGTCTTGCTTAATAAAATCAGGTTACCGGCCAACACTCCATGCGATTGTTATGCTAAGTAAACAACAGCTAAATACCAGTCACAAGCAATGTACATCACAAGGAGTTTTGGCCGGTAACCTAATTTTACTAAGCAATGTTTTTTCGTGCTTAAGCAAATTTTCTGCTTAAGTAGCTCTATGAAATTGGGCCCTGATCTCATTTGACAATGCAAAATGTTTGATTGGGTCCGCAGCTCCGCGTTATGTCTTTTTCCTTTGCATGAATATTTACAGGAGTTAATCACAGACTTAATATGGCCGAGGATCTGAAGCGACGATTGCATTTTGGCGATCCAGGCCTATGCCTGGGAGCAGCCGCCAAACTCTACGGTCAAGTTGTGAGGCAGAAAGAGAAGATTGCTGGCAGTGGTCCTATTAACAGCCAGACGCCCCAGGTATGTGGAATTGTTAAGTTTTGGAATTTAAGCAGAAAATTGGGGATGAAATCTGCACGCGTTTCATATTCTAAGAGTTTGCTTTACCTTTACCTATTGATCAGAAGAAATCACTTGGAAGAGATTTTAAAGAGGTGCTCAACCACAATAACCATCTCGGCCCTTACAGCTACCCATCTTCTTCTGGGTGGAGAGAGCGATGAGTGACCAAGTGCCTTGCGCAAGGGCACACGCAACATAACCCCCAGGCTGGACTCGAACCCACAACCTGCAAAATTACCCGCAGACCACAAAATTCAATACTCTAGACCACGAGGCCACGGCACTCCACATGTGCACATATGTTCACAAGAGTTCACCTTCACAGTGTTATGGCAACCCTTTTCTTTCATTTGTTTAAGATCGCAGAGCTCAAGATCCTATGGGACCAGTGCACAGTGGAGTCCAACTCTGTATCAATTGCCTGCAGTGAGACCCTTGTTTCTCTTGTCCGTGACGGCCATGCAGATTTTTCCTACGTCATGAGAGGCCTGCTCAACGTCATCCCCTCAGCAGTTAGCTGCATAGGAGCTGTGCAGGCTCTGAGGCAGCTGTTACTTCTGGACATGCATGCTTGTGTTGCTGCTGAAGGAACGTATCACTGTCGGTTTGGTCTGAGGTACAGTAAAATTGAATATGATGCTACGTTGTACCCTAAAAATCAATAGGCCTTTTCACGCTGTCCAAAATCTCTATGTTGGACCTAAATGGAACCCAATGCTTGCAACCCTTTTTACACAACTCACTCACTCACTCACTCACTCACTCAGCCGCAAACACAGCGTTGGTCCATCATGCTGACCTGTGCCCACGTCAAAGCTTGGTTCCAAGCACTCTCTACCTCGCTTGGTTGACCCAGTTGATCAATCCAAGGTCTTCTTGGGCGGCCTCTGGGCCTTGTCCAGCCGAAAGCAGGTTGACCTTTCCAGGAGTCGATAGCACAAGCAAGAATCCAATATGGCTTTTACACAAGTCCAAGGCTCTACATGCGTAAAATTCAGCCCTGGTTGGGGCCAGGGTTGTGAGGCTTCATCTGTGTAGACGGTTGAAATTGAAGTGCAAGTGTGAACAATTTACCTATCTGTGTTGGATCTCACGGTGGATCCATTTTAATTTTCACAAGCGTAAGTTATGATAGTGTGAACAGGCCTAAAAGTACTTCTTTTTTTCTTGTGTGATAGGAACCCGCCTCATCCATTCATCTCAGCATTGACCAGCAGACCAGATTGCTGGCCGATCATACTGCAGGAAGTATCCAAGCTACTCCATGCGACAGATGAAAGGTAAATACCTAGAGTTATGTTGAATCATGAAATTATTGCATGAGAGAGATGTAAAGTCACTATTTGGTTTTGCCCTTCATATCCCTTAAAAATTCCATCATACATAATACATAAAGTGACTGATGTCGATACCAATTGCTACATTGGATTCGAACCAGCCAACTAACCCTGGCAAGCTTGTTGATCTAGTGGTAGGACCTCTGCACTATGAAGTAAAATGTCATAAGTTCAGGTCCAACCCCACTGAGCTTGTGAAATTTTGTTTGTTGCAATCCCTCAGACAGCACTGAGCACATAGTAATTAAAGAAATTTCAGTCTGTGAAGGGCAAAACCAAATTTTGAATATCTGTACTTGTTGTTGTCGTCATCCTGAGAGTCATGATTGACACATTGTGATGCTTTTGATGATGGAGTTCCACCTCTGCCTGTCCAAAGCTGACCGGTAGGCTGAGGTCAGAGGCATGCCTGTCAGCTCCTTTAACTCTAACCACCTAGTAGTTCCCCAGTACTACCCTGCTAAATCCAACAGAGTCTGATGGTTACTCATATGAGTTTCCTACTCAATTAGACACAGTCCCACACTTGCCAAGTCGTTGGGTACCTGAACATATCAAATGACTGGCATGCTCAATCCAACAGAATCCAACTGTGCCTTATTTGTCTGTTTGCTGCTGGACCCAACAGAGTCCAACTTGGCGTTATTTACCAGTATCCAACAGACTCCCACTCTGAATGTTTTCAGTTGCCTGCTCAATCCAACAGATTTCAACAGGAATATATACAAAGGGTTTACAGCTCAATCCAACAGGACCCAGCGGGTATGTCAGATAGTTGGATCCTGTTGGATTGAGCAGGGTTAGGGGTAATCCGATCGGCCCAGCAGAGTTTCTGTCTGCCACGTGAATGACTGCCTGAAACCTTTCCTTGAACAAGAATCCTCTCCAGATTATCTCCTGCTCTTCTTGAAACATGGATTAAAAAAAGTGCAGCTTGTTTAGTCAGTCCTTTGGCACACGATGGGCCATATCATTCCCCATCAACTTTCTGACGTAATCATTTGTTTCCGCTCCTTCCATGATACTTGTTGTATCGTGTCTTATTTTGTAGCATTTTTCAATTCATGGCACCAGTGTAGTGAGTACCTAATGATAGCCTTCAAATAATGTGTTCATGAAGATCACATGAGTTAACTTTGATAAATGTGTCTTATTAAAATTGTTAATTTGCAGGTTCTCTTGTCATAATGTACGAATGCTCAGTCCCTTCCTGTCTTACGTTATGTTGAATCCTACCACACCGCATCAGCTAATCACCTTCAAGGTTTTGCTGGCCGAAACTCTGCTGCAGGCTGGCACATCTACGGGTCCTGTTGCCATGGATATTTGCACTTTTTTTCTGGATTGTCTTCATCAGATGAAGGTACACAAATTTTGCTATTTTTTTATTAGTATTTATTCCTAGAAAAGTAGTCGTCTACATGTTCATATACATTATATAGAGCTGTTGTACTTGTAGTACCGCAGAAAAAAACACTGTTTTGCTACCAACCACACAGATCCTTTCTTAATGTGACTTCATTCACAATGTAGCGCATAGCTTGTTAGCCCCTTTAGACACAATATCAATGAGTTTTAAACACATTTCTTGACAGAAGCGTGGACAAGCTACTCAACCCAGAGAGAATTTCAATCAAATCAAAACTTTTCCCAAATCAGGCTCACACAAAAATGGTTATTCTAACCCAAATAGTTAAGCATCCCCAAATGATAATTTTGTTGAGTAAATGTGACATAAATAACTGATGGAATTAACAAGGTAATGCTAAAAACATGAAAAGAAGATTAACTGGTTCTTCAAATAAACACTCAACCGAAAAGAGATTTGACACACTGCAGTACTCCTGTTTACAATAGTTTCTGAAATAACCAACTGTGCTGGGTCTGTGTAGTATGTCAGTATTGTGTGTTGTAATATTGCAAGTGCATTGTTTCAAATGCCGGTTCACGCTTCACCCGAATGCAATGTAAAGCGAAATTGATATGTGATGACACTTTTCCGGCAAAATTTGCAGGAGCTGAAAATGATTCAATTTTTGCAAAATTCTTAGTTGGAATACTTGTGGTGATGTCCCAATGTGCGGTTGCCTTTGCTCCAAGTCTAAACCGGCCCAAACACTTTCTTTTCTCACTTCACTGAGAAGATTTTATCACAGTTTTCATTTCCCCCCCCCCCCCCCATTTCAGGTCAAAAACTTGCAAGAACTGAGTGAAGTCAACGTGTATCTTGTCAAACTGGCAAACGTTGTGCAGGCTCAGGAGGAGACTAACAAAACGTTGCTGAAGTCACTTTCCATCGCGGCGTTCACATTGTGCAAAGAGTGTGTGACCTTTGGCCACGACGTGACCCCTTGCATAAAGGTCGTTGGCATGGCGATGGAGTCATGTGACATTGATCTGGTGGATGAATCAGTGATTTGCTGTCTGAGCTGGCTGTTGCTTAAGGTTCCTCCTGATCAACTCAAAGGGCTACTCTCTGTCGGTGGGTTACGTTGAGTTGATGGAGGAATTTCAAATAAGAATTGAAAATGAGGCCCTTATAATCAGTGCTCTCTCTTATGAGAAAAAAAAAACAAGGCCATAAAAGGACCTGGGAGGGGAATCTTCCCATCCGTTTGTTTTTGTTTTTGTTTGTTTCTGGTATTATCGCCTCGGAATTTCTTTTTATATTAAGTTTTTAGACTGATATCAAACAGATATCTCGACACCATTATCATAAAACTTTGACAAGGAATTTTCAATTTCGACAACAAACTGTGACTCGACTCGACTTGACCTTCTTGACCTAATGCCTCAAATTGACTCGAGTCACTTCCTGAAAATGACTTGACTCGAGTCATAAAATTCAGTGCCTCGTTACAACTCTGCCACAAGTGCACTGGGTGAGGTAACACAGTGAGCATACAGTGTTTATACTTCACTGAAGGGCAAAAACCTAATATTGATTTACATCACCCCGACGCAAATTCATCTTATGAATGGAATTTTCAATGCTGGATACTGAAGGCATCTTTGATTGAAGTGTGGTGCAGTGGTGGCTGTAATTAACCACACAAAAAAACGTATCCTAATAACGACAAATTTGCATATGTACTAATTAGGGCGATTCACAATGCAGTGCGCCACCAAGAGTTTGCCACAGAGAGTTAATTTTTTCCAGTGCATTGTGAGAGATGGTCGACAAATTTGTAACACGGGAAATTTGAAATTGTTAGTTTTTCCGGTCAGTGGTTTCGTAAGCGTATGATTCGAGTATCTATTTGCCCTCTTCTTTTCTGTTAATCATTATGGTGTTTTTTGTAAGACAGCAAAATGCTATGCCCCAATCAACAAATTAGCTCAAGTTGTCTACTGATACTCGTTTAAATGGGCCATGTTTTGTCGACCGTAAACTTGAAAAATGGACTCCCCACGGCAAACTCTTTGTGGTGCACTACATTGTGAATTGCCCAAATTGCGCATATCAAATTTTATAACAATCAGTCGTTGCATAAATCCAGATCAGAAGTAGCCTTCAAGTTTCATCATTTATGTTGTATTTTAATGCTATTCTTTGTTAGCTTTCAATGGGTTATCAATGATGATAAAACCATACTGGCTTTACATCAACCATAACATGTCTCATCCCATCTTGCGATTATTCCCTGTTTTTTGTCCGTACAGCTTGGAAAATCGTGAATGCTTGTGAACACGAAGAGCAAACTTACACGTCCGGCCTGAAAATGTTGCTCCTTCCTCTGCTGCGGATAATATCGACACCTGTTTATACAGAAGTCACCATGGAAAGGCAGGAAAGATCAGCCAATCAGAAACAAGCGTCACAGTTACTGTCTTGTGTCAGTAGAATTGTTCAGCAGGCAAAGAGAAGGCAGTTACGACAAAAGGTAATCAACACTTCTCGAATGAGAGCAGTAATGAGCGTATTTATTTACTCCATTTCTCACTGTTCCTCTGCATATAGAACAAACCAATCCATTAGGCACACGTGCACGTGGGTAACAAAACATTACTCTCTCCAGTGCCAAACTGCACTTTCCAGCCCTGCTCGTCATTCGAAAGTGCACTCCCCTTCAGTAAAAACTGGACTGGTCTATTTAGCCTGGTCTACTGAGCTCATGGGTAACAAAATGTGCGTCTCTCCATCCAATGCCAAATGTGCCAAACTGCACATTCCACAGTCGTACTTTACCATTACGTCTGAGGACAAGGTATTGTGTTTCCCTTTGTTCCTATAATATAACACTCTCCCATAGACTAAGCACACAGACTTGACGTATGAGGATGGTTCTCATCAAAAAAATGTATGTTTGAGGACAGCAAAGAATCTGTTGTTCTTTCTTTGTCCTGCTGTCCTTGGGATGTATGTAATACACGTACATGCATGCTGGACTTTTGTCAGATATGCAATACGGCTGTGATTAGACCAAGTTCCAAACACTCAATAATTTTAATTTCCCCCCTCCCCCCTTACACTTCAGGAAAGCTTCTTCTATAGTCTGGAGCCACCATTTTGAAATTTCTTCTCCTTTTTTATTTTTGGTTTCAACTGTAGGGCTTCCTTTTTTGAATAATTTAGTATTTGATTATTCGGAACTATGTTTCACGGAAAATTTGATTATTCAAAACTCTCTGATCAAGTTTTACACACGCCAGCTGCAATAGTGTGCCGAGCCAGTCAAAAGTTGCACGCAAAGCGCGCCGGTTCAAATTTGCGTGCGGTGATCGATATTATGGACCGCTGGAGTGTTTTGCAGTAAGTATTTCATAAGTGTCAAGGGAGGGCTTTAACCTGCTGAACGGCCGGGAACAGTGAACCAGTGTCGACAAAAAAAGTGGCATCTGTCAATAAAGCGCTGCAACTTTAAGGGAAAATACAACATTTGCTAACATTGAAAAATAGAACTACCAAGTTTTTACGAAATACCTTACTAGGATGTTGGTAAATGATAAATAAATGATCTAAAGCATCCTGTAAAATTATGGCACATGGTGTGAAGTCATTTTCAAGAAAATGGTAATTTTGTATACATTTCCAACGGTGGTCGGCCGACCACCGTTGGAAAAACCTAACTATTTTTCAACTTCTGCTCTTCTGCAAATTTATTTTGTTTCAGTCCAAATTGTGTTTGCTATTGGTTACATGTTCATGAAGGGGTGCAGGCCAGCTAGACTGGTTCCCTTACTGTACAATTTTCCGGCATCTATAAATTGATCCATTTCATCTTTAGTGGAGTCAGGGAACCAGACTACTTGAACATTTTTGTTTTTCTTGGTTTTTCCATCATTTTCGAACACAAAACTTCAAACATGTCTGTGTATCAATATTTGATCTAATATACTAACCCCTCAAATACTTCATTTCTGAAAATTACAGCAAAAGCCAATGCTGTACATTCCCTTTAACGATAGTAATATTGCAATAACATTAAAGTGTTATGAATTTCGTGACTTTCAGGAAAAGATTCCCAATCACAGCCTGAATGCCTGGTACCAGCTGATGCAAAGGTGTGGCCAGCTGTCCCGTACCCTGATGGGTCATCCCAAGGCTTCACATGATTGGTTGTTCAACCTGCAGTCCAGTTTATCCTCGGTGGACAACGTGTCACCTCTGGTTGTGCTGATCGTGTCCTCCCTGTTTTGGGAGAAAGAAGCGGAAGTGGTGCAGGCTTCTCTGAACGTTCTGATCAACATTGCAAGTCGGGATTGTTCTTGGGTGAGTATACATGCCTTATGTGGTACGGGGAACAAAGAATAACACTAGACACAGTTGGTTTTTAGAAAACTCAGTACCCCTCAAATGACATGCCCGCATAACATTTTAGCAAATAGAATTATTCAAAAAATTGTAAGCTGTCTTGAGAAGATGCAACAATTATATGTGATGTAATTTTGAGTGGTTTTATTCTTTGTTGAAAGCCACAATTTTGTGAATAGGCACTTCACATGTATGATTTGAGAGTTTCCATGGGGATTATTTGCCCTCATGTGCCCAATAGCCCTCAAAGCGCCCACAACCGCCCTACCATTTACTCCTCAAATTCCCCAAAACTGCCCCAGTACTCTATATGTCAAATATCAGCTAGTCAGCTGCCTAAATATATTGATTCATACATGATATACATATATATATTTTTAGATGGGTGTACCCGTGGGAGTGATGATGTTGTAACACCTTGCCCAAAGATTCTGTCTTTTGATTATGACGATTAGTGCATTACATGGTAGTTGCTATTTAGGGCCAGTCTGGACAGAAGTGCAGCAATGGAAAGTGGAAATAAAAGTGGCATATCGCACGTGTTTACACATGGGCAGAAAGCCTTGCAGTTTGTTTTATCATAATCGATTCAGAACATCTCATATATTTGCATAAATTTCCCATAGCTCATGATGCATAATGATGCATTCTCCTTCCTGTTGTCTAGGCTCCCAGCCTGCTACCTCTGTTACTCTACAGGCTTAGTCAGGAGCATGACCCAGCCATGACCTTTGACCTGCTGTCTGCCATCCCAAAGACTGCGACGCACAAAGTCTGCATGACAGCAGTGATCCGAGCATTGCAGTCCCTGGCAATGGGGGATGCAGCATTGACTCCACTAGTGCTGAGGCTCACAACACAGCTGTGGAAATTACAGGTATGAAGTTTTCTAGGGCGCTTTTTAAATAATTTTTTACATTTTTTTTATTTTTTTAAATTTTTTTTTGCTTCACTGAAAAATGGTAATGGCCTCAATAAGCCTCTTTCGCAATTTCAAGTATGCATGCCCACAGCAAGACTTTTACAATTTTCTATGAGAGATAAACAAAGCAGATGAAAGCACACAAGTCTATGGGGGATGTGGTAACCCACTCCGTATCTTGCAATTTTTCATCTAATCAAAAAGAAGATGGAAATGTTGTTCGCACAAAAGTTGTAGAGCATACATGTACAACACATTTTAAACTATGGTGCCATAACAAAAATTTGCATTTACTTCAAAAACTTCTTTGATTTCTTTGATACCCTGCTATGATTTTGCACACGTGTGTGTTTATCAAATTGTTTTATCTCACAAAACTAAGTCGTGAATCATGAAGTGCACACGCCCGTTGAAATTGCAAAAAGGCTTATAGAATTCACTATTTGATGTGGAATTCAGCTTTTGGAAACCCTAGGATTCAGGAATGATCTGAGTTCCCTGGCAAAAATTTTGACAAAATTTTTAACAAAATATCATTTTGATCATCCTCTGCATTGTGTAGGACAGAAGCTTCCCCCACCTTCAGAAACTGCTTTCTCAGTCACCAAGTGGCATCCCAGGCAGTGAGGATACAGCCTATGAGTTGCTTCTAGCTAAGGCTGCTAGCATCAGGGACGTGTGTGAATTACGGTAGGATTCGTCCTTTGAGCAACATCTTGTCCCTGACTCTCCCAGGGCTTTTACTTTGTGTCGTGTTTTATCACGCGTCAAATGTGTGGCGTTCTGGCAGAATGAGACACAACTGGGCAGAAGTTGAACTGAGGGTTTGCAGGTGTTAGGAGAGAGAATAAAATCCTCCTTACAATACTGTTTGTTGTACTTCAATCGGACATTCAGTTGACAAGTTATGGCTGTTAAAAGTTTGCACTTTTCAACATGTCAAAAAGTAGAATACTGAGAAAAAGGCCTTTAAAGTTGTAAGTTTTGTAGTCATGCAAGTGAAAGATGCCAGATGGTTTTCCTTAAAAATACTTTTATTCCACGATTTTTATACTAACAAAATATTGTCGACAAAAGTGCTGGGAAGCCTGCTTTGTTGTTAGTTTTCCCCTGTTACTAGGGACTAGACTTGTGATTTACACTGGCAGCAGCCAACAATTGTTAAACGTGTAGAGGTCTGTCTCTTATACCTTCCTTTTTCTCCAGACCCCACCATGGAGCTGATCTCCTTCCATTGCTGTCCAAGCTCTTAAACGAATGTACAAGTGACAGAGAGTCAAGCATAGCGGCCATGGCCTTAGATGCTCTGTATACGTTATGTCAGGCTGAGGTAGTGGACCTACGCACCATGTGGGCTGTACTGGCCCCTAAACTCACCAAGGATAACAGGTAGGAATTCACCTCATTTTGTTTTTACTGCAGAAACATTGACAAAAGAGTGCAAGTTGACCTAACAAAACTGGTGAGGTTTTATTTGAATAGGTGTCTTCTGGGCACGTTATATGATGTCTATTTTGGGGGGATTTATTTTGTTTCCTTATTGGGCTTGCATTGTATTTGGTCAAGGACAATTTATAAGTGAATTCTGTGGGGAAAAAAACAGTTTGAAAATATTGCAAATTGATGACCATAATAAAATGAAAAATTTTCACCTCAAGTTCAGGTCAATTGATCTTGCACATTATTATTTTAATAGTAAAGACAAACACAGGAATCTGTGACTGGATTAGTCACCCTTGTGCATGAACATTGAGACTTTTTTAATTTATGATGTTTTTCGTTGCAGACCTCTTGTTCTGCAGAACCTGTGCAAACTTCTTGGCTCAGCGCCAGGTTTACTTGCAGACAGTCAAGACAGTGAGGTACTTGTTCCCAATCAACCACAAGAAATAATTTTTGTAGCACAACCTTTAATAATCAAGTGTACATTGAGCAGTCGTTTTCTTTTTTGCTTAGAGTGCTTTATAAGCTACCTTGATTGCCCTAATCACTATGCGCAATGATCTGAAGCTACCTTGATTGCCCTAATCACTATGCGCAATGATCTGAAGCTACCTTGATTCACAGTTAAAGTCACCCAATATGGCTGCTTCTAAGGTGTAACTGAAGTGACATGACATGATGGATTCCAATGTCTTGTATCTCTTTTTGAACACAGTACAGGTCAATTCCGCGGAAACCTCAATGCCAAAACTTCAAAAAAATCCATATGCCACAAATGAAACGTATATCATTTTTAAGCATATTAGATATATTTGATTGAAATATAGTTTGTTTTGAACAGTGTTCAAGAGTTTAGTCAGTTGCGGATCTAGATTTCAGGAAACGGGTGGGGGATGTCCCCTCCCATCACCTAGAAATATGGGAAGTATACAATGCTTTCTCCTGTCGTCTAAGGCATTTTGAGAGTAAATTAAGGAACTTGGGGTTGAATGGTGCAAAATGTACGTCCGACAGGGTGAAACTGCCCTTAAGAATTTTAAGCTAAAGTCCGTTTTGAAAAGGTGAATTCTTTTGATTTTGTCCTGTTTTAAGATGAAGTAGGAAATCATTGGCCCTACATATAGTTTGGTTAAGATTTCGAACATTCACGGTCTCCTAACATCAAATTATGTCATAAATTTCATAGGACTTTTGTGATGAAGTTGTGGAGCTATTGTGGAAGTACAGTAACCATGGCAACCCAGTTGTATCTTCTGCTGCATTCACTGCACTGGCCAACTTTCAAGAAGATGACTTCACACTGGATGACCTACCACCTGAAGTAAAAATGCCATTTTCTATGCGTTAGAATGGTTTGATGATAATTATGAATATCCTTCAATGTGACATTTACGCATTTAAATATTTAACGACAAATATTTAAACTCGTTCATAAAAGTTTGATACCAAATATTTTAATAGAATCTTAACTTAATAAGTGGGCTCTTGTGTTCAGACCACAAAGGATGTTGCTCTTGTGTTCAGACCATAAAGGATGTTCATATATTTATTATTATTGAGGCATTGGGGGGCACCTCAGTATTTGATCACATTCTGGGATGTAGTTGCATACATTTTCCAGTGACCAGCAATAATCTAATTCACATTGTATTGTGTAACATTTGTTGTTTGATATTTTCAAAACACTGGTGGACTAGAGAACAGTTCTCAGTGTCTGCGCTACATAGGCCATCAGCCTTGGTTCAAAATTTTGGCCACCGGTATAAAATGAGGGGAATAATCGTCATTACGATTTTTGGCAAGGTATACATCTCCGAAGTTGGAAAATATGTGATAGCATTGCAGCAGTGGCAGCTTTTTGGGTGTTATCAACTTTTTTTTCAAAATGTCCATCAAAATGCTTGTTACCACTCTAGGGGCGGTATACATGTACCTTGCACATGCGCACTGTAATCATTTATGCCCTGATTTGATACTGACCAAACCATTAGGCTGATGGCCTAACATGCGACTGTACATATACCGAGGCAAGCAGCAGCTAGCCTTTAGGAAGTGTTGGTTTAATAACCCTTACCTCCCCAACTCCATCAAAATCCATCCCCCCATTTTGGTGGATTTTGGAGGGACTTGTCCTGCACGCCTGGTGTGACTAAATATTGATGTACTTGGGCCTGGAGGCCTAAAACAAAGCATGCATTGGAAGCAGTGTGATTTGTGGATTTTGTTGGACTTGGTACAGCACTTAGTGCAGGACAGTAGGGAGTTAGGGTTAATGGTAAACTTAGGCTGTGTCCGAATTACTTGACTACGGCTTAAAATTACACGCGAGTCTATGGGAAGTGGCTGCAGCCACTACTATAGACTCTTGTGTGATTTCAAGCCGTAGCCAATTGATTCAGACACGGCCTTAGATTGCAACATGCAAATATCTGCCAAATCAAATTTCCCAATGTGGATTCCATTGTTTCGAATGACATGTCCAAGCTGGCAACTAAAGACACATCATTTGGAAGTGGCTATATGATGTCATAAAGGCTTTTGTTACCGCTGACCATGTACACAATTTTGCATTTTATGTCATTAGGTAGCTCAAGAGGAGAAAGAAAAGATTGAAAAAGCCAAGCAGAAGGAGACGGGGGACAAAACTGACAAGAAGAGCAGTAAAGAAGAGGAGGAAGAAGAAGAAGAAGAGGAATATGAGGCCATTCCGCCATCTTGTTATGTCAAGCTCCTCATGAATATTCATGAGGAGGTCCTCCCAGGTATATATGTAAAGAATAACAGCCAATTATCCATATTTGTAAGGGAATGAGGGCACTACAGTAGAGTGTTTTTTCTTGGTACAAGTAGCAGAAATATGGTTATTTGGTATTGGAAAGTAATAGCATTTTACGTCAGTAACTTCTGTGCTAGATTAAACTTGAGAGTCAAACAGATTGATATCTTAAGGTACCTGTTTTTTTTTGTTTACAGCATACCAAGTTTTCCTGTCATCACTGTTGGTTGAGGAGGTTAAAAACCTGCCCAGAGGAGTTTACAAGTCTGGCGCGCGACAGAGACAGCAAACAGCAAGTAGGAGCAAAACCTTGGACAGCATTCCATCCCTGCTCTTAAATCGATTTGAAAGGGTGAAGCAACCAGGTCTGAAACCAGGATTGGCAGGTAATTCCATTAAGAAATCAATTTGACTACTGTGAACTCTGATGCACAATTGATTGTGTTTGATGTTTTTATGTGCCGCCAGGCTAAGGTTGATGCATTGGCTAGTACTGCAGGAAATTAGGACCAAGTTGTGTTGTCCCCGCAGCGTCGTTGGTCCCCCACAATAATTATCATTCATCGGGTGTGTGCTCCCCGCAACTATGGAATAAGTATGTGTGCTCATTGATGGGTACTGGTTTTAGTGACAGAACTACAGACAGCCAACTTTATTGAGCTTGACCAATTGTGCAGCAAATGAATGATGAGGTTTTACTGAAAATTGTTGTGGGCAGGAGAGAGGCAAAAAACACACCCAAAAAAAATAGCCCACCTTTTTGAAATTTTGGCTATTTCCCACTGTACGGCAAAGTGGAAATGTGTGACTTCAGGCTCATTTCATGGTCACAGATTGCATATGTTTTACCAATAGTCCCTGGGCATTTTTGCTAGGATGCAGCCTCGATCCTGCAACATTCTCCAACTGACTCCATGTCAAAAAAAACGCAAACAACCTCAATCCTCAAATCATCCGTTGTTTCTTGAATGAGGTCCGTGGAGGGGTAAACATTGCCTCAATCCTGCAAAATCCTCCAGCAATCACTGTCAATATGTTGAGGCAGAGCCAGTGACATCCTGGAGCAGTGCCAAGGATTTCAAGTATAATCTAGGCCTAAATTTATGTACGGCTGAGCATTAACAACACAAGGTCTGCCCCAAGACCTTGACACAGTGCATCCTCCAAAATCATGCAGCCACACCTTTTTGCCATATTGCCTCAATCCTGCAAAATCCTCCAATTTGCAAAGAGGATTTTGAAGGGGTTTCGGAAGGTTAGAGTTAATACAAAAATCAAGCCGGTGTTTTTCATTATGTGGATTGCTGTAGCAGTAATTGGTGAGATGCCATATTTTTTTTATTTTTTTTTATTTCTCCAGTTGGCTTGTTATGTTGTTTTGAACCTAAGCGAGAGACAAGCCAACGAGACGATAAGCCGGGCAGACGTCATGTTATCAACAAAGGTAGAGGGTACCAACACATGATCAACACTCTCATGAATGAGGTAATGAAACAGTTGTAGGGTGCACTGAGTTCTCCACCTCACCGGAAAACATGTGGTTTTTCTTCTCTTTATATTTTGTATCGTTTTAAATTTTCAAGATGAAATAGGAGATTGGATTGTATGTGTTTGTAATGTTGTTGATTGATTGTGTTTGTTTTATGTTGTTGATTGATTGTGGATGCATGTTTTAATGGCAGGTGCGTGTTGAGTCCACCAATTGGTTTGAGCTGATACAGTTGCCTCAGGCGTGGATGTCCCTCATGCAGAATGCCCTGCCGGCTCTCATTCAGGTAAAGTGTAGTCCAGCATTGGAAACAATTCACGACCTTTTCAACTCCTATTTTGCAAGTGTTGATACTCGTAAGAGTCTTTGAATATTCATGTGAACACATGTAGACTAACCAAGTGAACAAAATTGGAACCTCACTTGTACACACATGTTGCATGAATTCTTAAAGTCAAGGCGTGTACATTTGGTAACCCCGTTAGGCGAAAGTACATTGGGTGCGTGCATATAACCTAGTTCTACCTCAATAATTGCTACTAGCTGCGGTCGCCTAAGTAGTCTCTACTAGCTGCGGTCGCCTAAGTAGTCTCTATACAATTTCGATGCATTTTTATAGTCGACTATTTAGTGGCCAGATGTCCTGCATGTTTATACTGTGATCTATTATAAACCTCTTGCCATCATTTAAATCCAGTGAGGATACCCAAAAACTTCGTTCAAAATCCATTTCTTTTTTGCATAGCACGTAAATTTGCTAACCAATAGTTACTGCTCATTAGGCCCTGTCCTTAAACAGTTAGTGCAGTCATTCATGCTTTACCATGTTTACAGTCCCATTGTATTAGAGGAATATTGGGAGAGTGTGAATGACACCATGCAGAAACATACATGTAGCCTCCAATTGAGGTTACAAGATTATTCTGTAGGTCAGAATGCAGGTCTCCGAATATTTCAGTAACTTCTGTTTGGTGTATATTTTATTCAGAGTCGATGCGCTGAGCTTGAGCTTCAGCGAAGCCACGGCCACCTGGATGAGAGTCCAGCTGACTTCCAGGCCAGGGTCAACACTGCATGGCTATGGGTACGGGATAAACTGACTGACCAGATCAAAACAGCTGCCAAGTGAGTATCTGTGTTACAGGCAAGCTGGCACTGCCACACTTAGGAACTGCCTGTCAGAATATTGCTTTCTCCGTTTATAATTTATATCAGTTGAAATGTAATACGAACAGAAACCTACTTTTTCCCTTGCAGTCGCCATCTTAACTGGCCTTTGGCCTCATTAGCAATTCATTCAAAAAAAGAGATCTAAATCAGCATTAATTTGTATTTTGCAGGAGCAACTCATTAGCTCAGAGTAACTCTGTTCTGGCCCTGGCTAGCCTAGCCGTTGTCACGACTCGTCATTTCCTGGCCTTGGATAATGACGATGACAATGAGACCAGATCATCCAACCAGTCCTCATCCCAACATGCTGGGCAGACTCATTGGCTTGGGGTGGTCATAGACACACTACTCTCCCTCCTGGGCTTCAAGCCGGCAAGTGATGCAAAGATATTCACCTGGTATCAACTGGTACAGCTATTTTTTTCCTTTTTTTTTTTAATTACGAAAAAAGCCTTTGTTTTTGTTCTGATTCTTTTCTTGTTTCTTCTTCTTTTTTTATTCTAGATGATCATGACCTCATGTGATTTAAAAAATATTAGTGAACTTTTGACATTCTGTTTACTCTATCTACATACACATTTTTTTGTCATGTGTCATGTGTTTGGTAGGTAATGTTCATGTGCACATAATTGTGAGAGATGTGTGACCTCATCACGATGTCATACAAATGCAGTTTCTTATAAAAGATGTCTTATCGTCATGGAACTTTGGACGAAGAAAGGCATAAACATTTGAATTTTCCCCTCTTCCCCTTCCTTGGCTGTCACATGACCAGACAACACAGGGTCTTTTAGGGCCTAACAAGTAACAAGTTTAGATTCGCATTTGATCGCTCAAGATCCTTGCAAATTTTACAGCTACACTGTTTAAATTATACTTTTAATTGATGGCTTCAGATTGCAAATTTACCTTTAAAGGGAATACACAACATTTGCAAACATCAAAAACAAAACTACCAATTTATTATGAAATACCTCACTGGACTGTTAGTGAATGACAGTCTAAAGCATCTTGTTTAATCAAGGCACCTTGTGTGCTGACATTTTCAAGAAAAGTGGTATTTTGATGTCTATACATTACTCCGTTTCAACTTAAGTGGGGTCAGAGAGCCAGACCACAAAATCATAATTGTTTTTCTTGGTTTTTCCAGCATCTACGAATACAAAACCTAAAAAAATTCAGTGAAATAATATTTGGTATAAAATACTACCCCCCCCCCCAATCCATCCATGTCTGAAAATTACAGCAAAAGCAAATGTTGTATATCACCTTTAAGGACACAAAACAACAGTTATATTGTGACTTGATTTCAGCATTCTGGTGAGCCAGGGGTCGGTTTGCCTGCTGCAGTCCAGGGCAACGCGGCCCTAGGTTTAGCCCTCCTAGCACCCTTCCTCCTGACCACCGACACCCAGCAACTGCACCGCATCATCGATGTAATGATTGAGGGGTTACCGGGGCAACCAAAGGCTCAGCGATCACATGATGCCCAGATGCATCATGGGATGGCGCTGGGCATGCTGACTGCGAGATTGTACGAAGAGCATTACCTGGACTACACAGGGAGTGAGGTATATTTTTTTTTTTAAAAGAAGAAAAAAAAAAAGAAGCCAGCCAGACCAAAGAATGTAAATAGTTTTAGGGAGTTCATGACGTTAAAGTTTTGTCTTTAATCTGACACTCAAAAACAACCAAACTCCACCTTCTTGTTTTGGCGATAGCGCAGCAGAGAATTGACGCTCTTTTTTCGACTTTTATTATTTCAATTTTGACAACTTCAATATTTTGTGATTTGTCTTTCATATTTTCTACTCAAGTTTACTTCAGTTCTCTCTCTGTACAACTTAACGACCCTTCATTGGAAGACACCACATCCAGGAAAAACTAGAGATGAAAATTTCAAAAATGCTCTTCAAACCTGTGCCGCAAACAGTCAGCGCCCTCCTCTGTAATGGGTGTTGGACTTCACCATAAAACAAAAAACATAATAAACGTCTTATCCATTCATAAACTCATACAAAATATTTGAATAACGTGCGTCTCTGTGGTTGTGCTCGCTAGAACTAACTACCGGTATACCATGCACAGGCCTTCATATTTTAAACCTCTTTCTATAAACCCTCTGACGTAACTCACTTGACATGGGCTTCTGGCGCTCTATTTGTTCTTCAAATTCCTAAGACAACAGTTTCCAACAATTAGTGTTGTCTGTTCCTGACACTAAAAAACCCCCAAAACCAACCTCCTTGCTTTGGCAATAGCGCAGCAGAGGAGTGACTATTTAGAAAATGCCAAAGCAAGGTGTTATGGCATCAACATTTAAATCTTACATCTTGGAATCACACAAAATTAATATCTCTTTAGCATGTTTTAACAAGTTCTGGATATTATAGAGAGTCTTTCATTATATCATTTTTACGTGCCCTTGGGATAAAGGTTCAGCGTATAATTTGTAAAAAAAAAATTCTTTTTTTCTTCTTTTTTTGGAGGGGGGTTGGGAGTTTGGTAGTTTTTGTGATAGAAGTTAGATAGTAAGATTTGTATATTATACATTTTAGTATTATTATTTCATGTGACTACTGTGGTAGTTTGCCCTGATGTCAATGAACCCCAGACTCACCGGGACTAAGTAACCCAGAAGCCGCGCCGATATGGCCAGCTTATATATTTGCCTCCACTTCACTTACTTCCTCCACGCCTTATTTACAAGAATGAGCACAAATTACATCATCTCATGAACTACAATAGATAACATGACACATCAACAGTAACTCTAAAATCATGTTACACTGACGGTGCCCTATGCATTGGGTGCATGTGGTTTTGGACTCGCATTAATTCTCCTCCAACCCGCTCCAGCACCTGCAAAATTCCTGCTACACAACTTTACTCCTCTATACTGGTATCTGCAACTCTACATACACTCTATACACAGCTACTTGCTCCTCATCTACTCAACTTGATCCTCAATGACTCAGCTACCCCCCTGACCATTGAGCTAGTAAATTACTAGTAAATCTGTAGCAGTTTCCAAACGTGTTCAATACGTACATGCGCCTGTTTTCCCCTCTCTATAGTTTAGTTTATTTCACAAACCACTTTTCGCTATCCACAACATCATTTATACATCTCAAAACCCCCTGTCAGCCCACTGACAGCTACAGATGTAATTCTTAGCTGATTCCATATGACTTGATATGCTTGGGTTTCCAAACTTCCAGACTACATGAACTTTGTTATGGATAATTCCTCTACATTTCTTCTCAGCCCAATACCTGTCAATCAAATAAACTCTCATTATAAATGAGGCACAGTTATGTGTGTTCATTCAGTGACTAAAATGCTTAGTTTCAGTGTTATCAATCTGAACTTCAGTGAATTTTCGGCGAAAATGCCAAGGTTTCCTCTTCCTCTCCTTGTAACATTTGCTTGTGGTAAGATTTTACTATCTAGAACGAAACTGTTACATGCTCCACTTTTACATGATAAAAACCAAAACGGGGCTGACTTCCAAAATGGGAATGAACGTATAGAACCTTCTACTTTTTCTCTCTGCATTTTTGTCAGTGCCTTAAGTATGATCCTTAGCGATGGTACCAACCAATTGCATTCATTCTTCCAACTCTGGTCAAATGTATTGCCCCCTTCCGTACCCAGGCACCACCACCTGGAATTAAATCTTTACCATAACCATTCAAATTTGAAGTGAATCTGTTAACAGTGTAAGGACCCCATGCCTTATTCAAAAACTTGTATACACATGGCTGCACCATCTAGTCATCACTGTCTGCAGTCCTATTTAGCACATCTGCTTCAGTATTTTCTTTTCAGTTAACATTTTTCAAATTGTTGGCAAAAAGTGTAAATTCAAATTACAAGTTTAAAGCACACTTTTCAATATCTGAGCTGCTGTAGTTGGAGAAAAAAGTGTTATTTGAAGGAAAGAAAATTGTCTGGTTTTTTTTGGGGGGGGGGGGGTATTTTGCTATGTATGAAATTCCACATTGACGATCATTTGACATGTAATGGAGTGAAACTTTTTCTTGTTCTGCAACCTTGATAGTCTTTTGGGGAAAAAATGTCAGTATGTTGAGCAACTTAACCCTACCCCCCAGGCCCTTTTTGCTAGGAACCATCCTCAATCCTCCAAAATCCTCCAAAATTTTGCACTTATGTTCGAATGAAGGATACCCAGCGCCTCGATCTTGAAATCGTCAGACGGCCCTGCCTCTCACAATGCATTCATCCTCAATCCTCCAAAATCATCTTCTTCTTCAAACACCATTCATCCTCAATCCTCCAAATCCTTATGTTTCTCAAACACCATTCATCCTCAATCCTCCAAAATCTCCCTGGAGGATTTTAGAGGAACAGATATGTTTGTGAATTGTTCCAATCTGGTTCAAGATTTGCTATAACATGGCTGACAAATTACCCCTGCTTTCCCTTTTTAGTGCTTTATCAGTTCTATAATCTTTCCAAATATTACCCATTGGAGAGACCCCTAATTGAATATAAAATAACTTGATTTCCTGCAATATGTCTCACATGAGCTCATTTCTTCCTGCCTTCCTTTTATGGTTAATACAACCTTTGCAAACCTACATTTCTCACTCAAACTAGAAGTTACTCAAACTTAATTGCCTTCCTAGTGTTTCTAGTCTTTATTTCTTTCTCAACTTCATTTCAGTTTGTGTTGTATTACTTGAAGCTATTCCTATGTCTTCCAAGTTACATGACTGTCTTTCCTTATAATAATCTCATCTTACCATCACCAAGACAATACATCAACAAAGCTGAGCCAAACCCAATTACCTTTTTGTCTGAAAAATTCCTCTGATATTTCCTCTCCTTGAGTTTTCAAATCTTGTTCATCTACATGTACACTTCCTTCACTTGCATACTATCTGGCATCATGACAAACAACAGAAGATAAACCCAACTCATTGAACTTTATCACATGTATGTAACTGTACTACAAAAACTGTCTACTTATTTTTCCTCTTCAAAAGGTTTTGCTTAACTTGTCTGAATCGAAGGGTGAACTCTCAGAAAAGAAAACACGTACATTAATTAAAAAGAGTATTTTGAGAGCAGCCATTATGGTTTCTTAAAGTCAAAGGTTGGTCTTATTTAAAGATCTTATAGCACTTCTCTAGACACAAAGGGGCTTTGTTCGCGTGGATCACAAAAATGTGGATTGAAAGCTTTAAAGACTGGGGGGCATAATCAAACGCTAATAACCATAGGTTAATGATGGTTTTCTTGTGAACATGCAAATTTGCAGAATATTCCCTCCTGGATTGAATACAAGTAAATCCTCAATATGTGATGTTCAACCACAAGTCTTCATTGCTGCATCCACAGACTTTGTAAATGTACCCAAGTACATGGAGCATTCCGTTGATTGCAAAGTCCCTTCAACTCGGGCCATTAGTAGGGGCGATCGCGTAGTTTGTTGGTCCTGTGCACATAACTCATTGCTGAATGTTAATACTTGGTCACATTGAGGCAGTCATGGTCATGTCAGCTGCTTGGATAGCCATTCAAGTCAGCCATTCCTCAGAGTCACCTCCTTCCTTCGGACACCCACTTCCTAGGCACTCGGACACCCACTTCCTAGGCACTCCATCCCTCTAGATCATTTTCATCATTGTCAGACTTTTCAACCTCTCATCGGCATCCCTTCTGCTCTTCTATATCTTTAGTTTGTTAGGTGTGCTTTCACCTAAAACCATCGTCTAGGAACAAGACAACTTTAAAACCCTTGGACATGTTGGACCTCCAATGCGCCAGTACTGTTCTAGTTACTTTAGTGAATATCCCGCTGTAGCAATACCAAATGGAAGCACATTGAAATAGTAAAAAAAATGGTCTCACCATTCTCTTCCCAAGAGAAACCTAGATACCGGTATGCCCTATGATCTTTCAAAATCTCAATACATGTGTGATGATATGCAGATTTCAAGTCAGAACTGAAAACAAAATCCAGATGTCGAAAAGTTACTTTACAATGGACACATCCTCATATTTAAAGTTGTATTGTGCTAACAGGCATGCAACTTTCCTCAGATCCGCTGATTTCCTCGTTTTTTTTACTTCTCATACCATTACAAATTGAAAAACACTGCACAAAGTCTTGTGTGGTTTGGAGTTTTCTCATTTTTTTCTAAATTCCCAATTGCATGCCTGTGCTACACTGGCATTTAAACCTCTGCAATCAAGTACAAGCCTCGGTTTACCTATTTTACTGTATGCTACTGTCAGTGGGTTAACATGTGGCTTTTCGTTCACCTTGCTTTAAATACATCCCTTCTCTAATAACTTTCCTACTTCTTCCTTAACAAATGACAGGTTATCTCTTGCGGACTTGTTATTTCTTAAATAAACTGGCTCTGGCAGTGTCCTGAAAGGTAGCTTATACCCTTCTAATATGACATCTCTAATATGTGTATTAACATTCACTTCGTCCCAGTACTTCAAAGATTGTTTCAGCCTACCAACTGGTGTAACTGTACACTTTTCTGCACAGTTATCTTGCTTTATTAAATACTTCAACATGTGATTGCTTTGTCTGCATTACTCCTTCATCAATTACTGCTTTCGAATGGTTGTTTTTAACCAGCAGTCAAAACCATGAAATCTTTCACCATCTAAATCGCCATCTAAATCAATATTTCCAAAATCGCTTGAACTGACAATCTTGAATTACTTATTTCTTCTTTTTCACTCATCTTCCATCTTGCACGATGCTCTCACTTGTGAACACCCATGCTTCAAGTGTCCTGGCTGTCCACAGGCAAAACAAAGCCCTGGCTTGCTTGTAGCCGTCACAGGTGCCGCATAACACAGATTTGCCCCAGTTCCTTTTGTAGTTTGCTGTGTAGTTGGATATGACGTGAATCTAGATGGTTTCCGAGCCCTCTTTGCCTGGGCTTGCTTGTGCTTCTTTGTAGCTCTGGCCTCTGCACGATTCTTTAGCTTATCATCTGAGGCCGACGCTATCAGGTTTGCTTCGTACTTCTTAACTACCCGCCAGCAGAATTGGTTGACACTGAGAGCAATTTTTTGTGCAGACTTATATACTTCCTGCAGTAAATACCTTCTTGACATTTTTCCTGTCTGTGAACCATTTCACTTTCTTTTTTCTTAACATGTGAACATTACTCTTCAGCACTCCCTCCACAGCCCGAGTCTCTCTCCAAGTGGAGCTTTGCCTAGTCTCCCCCTCCCTTCATGTACCTACTTCCTCACTGCCCTCAGCCAAGGCTCCCGCTCAAAGGGAAACATAACCTCCGTAACCATCTGCGGAAGCATTACTATATGCGTCATTTGTCTCACATTCATTCTGAGCTTTTATACTCATACATTTGCCATTAAATTGTCTGACATTTTAAAGTTTCCGAGTTTCCCCCCAGTTCTTTTCAGACCCTCACAAACTCATTAAAAAAGATATTTGTCACATGTTGCTACCGTAAATCTTTATCTTATTTTAAAACAATATCTCATAGTTTGCCTCATCGCTTACTATAATGGGTGCGTTTGTAGGCTTGTCCCCCCTTTTCTCAATGGCCTAGGGACTCACTGTAGAGAGCATTCCAACAGTAGTCCCTTTGCGAGCCACTCTTTTATCTTTGTCGGGGTTAAACACCTGGAGCGAAGCAGCCTGGTTTCCTGTCTCTACAAGGGATCTGGCTAACACAAGCCCTCTCTGTGCTAAGTGTCCACCACCCTCTACTGGTTTAATGATAGCTGGCCTAGACAAGTCTTCACGCTTTCTAGTAATAGTGCCCGGCACTACTGCCTCATGCCCGGAATAACAGCTTTTTCTGCAACTACGACTCTTCCTACAAAAGGCTCTCCCGCGCTACTGGTGCACTTACTCACTCACCATTTACCTTACACTCTCAGGTTTGGAAGTCCAAATTCCCCCCTGTGGGCAGTAGGAAATCTATTCCCAAAATTCCTCCATACCTCATCTCTGTGACCATTGCTCTCACTGGGTTTGTTGTCCGCCCGACTTGGACGTCTACCCAGGCTGTGCCTAACACTGGAACGGGACTTCCGTCCACCAGCCTGACCTTAACTCTACACTCTCTAAAACAGGTCTCTGTTCTTTCTGTATCTGGTGATACACGGCACTGCTGATCAGTGTATCTGTGGCACCTGTGTCAATTGAAAACCGACACTGGGTTGTTCTCACAGCGCCGTCAAGTGACTTTTGATCCATCACAAGTAGCTCAACTACCGGTACAATATTGTAGATTCAAAATTAAAAAAAAACACCTCTGTTCTAGGGAGAGGTGAAAATGATTCGCGTGGTGGATGCCCTCGAGTCAGCTAGTCTGAGCACCAGCGACGGCTCAACCTCCTACGGTGCGTTATTGGGTCTGGCCCTGGCTCTCTGTGCTATGACAACAGAGGGAGCCGTTCACACCAAGGCCCACGTGGCCAACGTGCATCACAAGCTCATTGCAAGGCTGGATGGAGAAGATAAAGATACCTTGTTTGTTGAGGTGGGTAATTTAATATCAGTTACTTGAAAGGATTGTCAATGGTATGATGTATCCTGGGCACTCAATTTGACGCTTTCCGTGAATTATTGTTTTCAATTCAAACGTTCCCCGAGTAGGAGTTTGAAGTTTCTAAAAGTTGTAATTTCGAGGTAAAAATATATTTTTGTTCATGACTTGCATAATAATTTCAAAAGGTAAGATTACATAAATGTCCAACTTCATGAGTTTCCAGCTGATCAACTTGGATGTTTGGAACGAGCACCTTTTACTAGTGGCTGCCTTTTTTCTTCTTAAACTGAACTATTTCTTCCTTTGTGCACTTTTCGCAGGCCCTGTGTATGTGCATAGGATGTGTGACAGCAGCTGGTTTCCATAGCAACATCATCAGTCCCGCCGTGGCATTTGATGTTGCCGTCAAATTGCAGACACGATGCCAGGAGCACAACCAGGTACATCACATTAACAACTGTCTTCACTTTTTGATGATTTTATTTGATTATTTTGTTTTGTTTGTTTTGTCTGTTTGTTGGATTGTTTGTTTTGTTAGAACTTGGTCCGATGGATCCGTTCTACTGTCAATCAAACCGACATTGTTTTGACGAACAAATGAATGTGCCTACACAGCAGCAAAACTGAGTTTTGAGAAAATGACATTTCAAGTTGTTCAATATTTGAAATCTCATTTTCGTATACATTTCTCCCCCAAAAATCGAAAAATGATATATAACTGATGCAGAAGCCATTATCGTTTCATCAAAACGCAAATTGTAGCGGCTACCACAAATGTAAAAGGCTGGCACATGTAAAGTACGGTACACCACAAATCCGATCACAGGTTCAGTTACAAGTCCTATTGCTGTGGTATAAAAAAACATGCCTTTTTAACAGTTCATTTTGAATAAGTGATGAGTTAACATGGGACTGGATGACTTGTGAAGGACTTATGATGGACTTGTGACATGTTGATACTATAGGTCTCGTTCAAATGACGTCATTTCCTACAGACCATCCACGTGCATCGGCATTTTGAGCATCAACTTGCGTAACGCGTATAAGCTGCGTCGTATTTCGAAAAGATTTCGAGCAACAAGCGTGCGTGTTTGGAACATTTTCAACACTGCGCAATGCGTGCTTGAATGCGTAAAATACGCGGTTGCACTTCTACAGAAATGGCGGTCATTGAACGAGCCCTATTGAAAGCGCTAATAAGCACTGAGATTGTTAATATTTTGATTTTTTTTATATTTAAAATAGAATACTGGTGTGGCAGTCAGTACTGGCGTCATGTTTCATTGTTTGGTAGGCAGCAGTCATCCGTCTGTAGCCCCTCTGTTAGCTAATCTATTCTCAACTTGGTCCTCTACCATTGCTAATCAGGTACGTAAGTCGATTAACGCTAACCCTGCCAAAATGCAAGACAAACATGAAAATTGAAGGGACCTTGTTACATTGGTTAGTCAACAACGTTTTTTATCTTGTCAACGTTTTGAAACCAATTTCAAAACGATATAGCGTTCTCACAAAACGTTAACTTTTTTAGCTTGGGATATTTATTAACACAATTAAAAAAGTTTTCAAATGAACCACACAGGGAAACATACACAGGGAAACAGACTAGCTGTATGGTTGCTTTGAAAATTTGTAATAAAAAGCTGTATCCTCTCCGTGTGATCCCCGTTTGCAATTTCCAGGTCTGGCTGTATGGCATACTGGTTTATGGCTTCTGACTAGCGCCCCTTGAACAAAGATATCGACTAATTGGGGAACCGCCAACATAGGGCTGGATAGCTCAGTTGGTAAGAGCACCGGAACTGTTATCCGGAGGTCGCAGGTTCAAACCCCGCTCCAGTCAACATGTTTGTTCAACTTTTCAACCACAATTAAAAAAGGCTATGTTGGATTGAGCTAAAACATGCATCAATTATGAATGTCTCTACTTCCATACCAAATTTCTTAGTAATTGGTCATTGCATTTCAGAGATTCGAAGGAGAGGGTCCGAATTCCCTTTCTTTGAACAACCACGTAGGAACACGGGTAATTACCTGGAAACGTTCTTACCGATTTAACGAGAAAAACCTTGCTCTTAGTGAAGATAGCACTGGTCCAAAATACCCTATAAATTTATTCCTCCAGAAATAATTTTGATCAAAAGAGAACAATATGTGATGGTGGTTTTAAAAAGTTTGCCAGTCGTTACACTTTTTGAGTGTGTTAGCAATGGAATCCAGTTATGAGACCACAAAAATTGTAAAGATGTTTTCTCAGTTTTCTCAAAATGTGTGGTAATCATTCAGCTAAAACTTCAACAGGTTGTATTAGTTGTCATGCACCCTACTTAAGATTTTGAGCAATTGTGTTGCTTCAAATTAAAAAAAGTGCACAAAAAGCAAATGATCCTACGTACATGTACCTATTAAGATCAAAGTAACCAATATAGACCTTACATTCTCCTAAAGTCAACCATTATCAAACTGTCAAAAATACCCAATTAAAACCTTGTTATAAAGGAGATCATAAATTGTTATTTTGTTTATAGACGGCTTCAGTATCTCAGAAGACGGGAGCAATGTATGGTCTGGCAGGACTTGTTACGGGCACAGGACTACTGATGCAAAATTGTACTCAGACTCAAATAACATCTGATATGCAAAACCAGAGGATTGCTGTTGTTAAGCAAATTAATCAGGTATTCCAATTATCGTGTTTTCTTTTGTTTGATAGTTTAATAAAATTTGTTTTCTACATGGTATAATATATTTTATCTTAAAGTAAACTTGAATCCTCCATCCTGATTGGTCGATCCATGGCAACAAGCTGTGCTACATATAACCATGTAGCACGGCCATGGTCCATCCCGCACTCCACGCATTGCGCTATGCTAAGATGCGCGCGCCACATTCTGAATAAACACGCACGTGTAATAGGATAACCGCTGAAAAGTTTTTAGTGCGTCAAAAAAATCAAGTTTGCCTGAAGATAGATTCGTTATTGCGCTCGCGCTCGTGGAACACAGAAAATGTAGTGCGTCTTTGTCCCACATACCACTCGGCCTTCAGCCTCGTGGTATGTGGGACACAGATGCACTACATTATTCCGTGTGCTGCTCGCGCTCGTAGGATAACTAATAATATTTGGGTTGTTTTTTTCCTTCAAATTTACAGATAGTTTTTAGAATGCAAGTTTACAAAATTCACCTTTTGTGAATAAAGTTGTCAGCAACTTATCCCACGTATTGAATACGTTGATTCCTTTATTTGTTTTTGCAGGTATTGTCTGACTGGTCGGACCCCAGCATACAAAACACTGCAGCATTCCTGCTGGGATATCTTCATCTGGTCTCCTCCTCTGCACCAGAAAGTAACACAGGCAGTGAGTAAATGAAAAGATCCCAGTTTGTTATACCATAATAAGCCCGGTTCATACTTAACGCGAAAGCAAGCAAAAGTTGTGACATCAACAACACGTTTGAAGCGCGTCCACCATTGTGGACGACAAGAATTTCGCTGTGCACTTGCTTTTGCTTAAAGTATGAAGCGGCCTATACAGACTTTCAAGTATTCCTTTTTTGCCTACTTTTTCCTATTTTTTTTTTACCTTGCTCCTACTTGTCCTACTTTTTTTCTTGAAATTCCTACTTTTTGTCCCACAACTCAAAAAAAATTAAATCTCATTGAATGTTTTTCATAAGAGTATTACACGCTGTCATATTTAAATCACACAATGAAGGGCTTGGGCGTAGGAGTACTGCAACTGTACTTCCAAGAGCTTAGTTGAGGATGGAGCACAAGTGTTGTGAGTACAGAACATGCCAAATGAGGCTTATGATATTGTGGACATGGATGAGCATCAACGAAAATTACTCTTGAAAGTCCTCAAGAGTCCTACTTGTGTCCTCCAAAGTTCTTCTTTTGCCCTGTTTGTTTTGGTTTGTTTTATCCTACTGTTCTACCTTTTTTTTACCTGGGTCTGCTTGGAAGCCTGCATGATATCAAAGATTTTAAAATTTTGTTGGTTGAGGACAGCTGGCGTGACATATTTCAGAAGTTCATGTATGACGACCTGATGGACTGAGCTGAGTACATCACCTCATGTACAGTAGGTTCACCACCTTAAATGATCGTTCTCAAAGACTTTTTAATTTGTTTGTCCATAACACTACTTCGCACCAAACAGCTAGAATAGACCCTGCGCACAGGGTAGGTAAATGTTGCCAACTGCAGCATGATAGAACAGTACTACTGTCATTGTTCAATGGGACTAGCTCCCATTGTCTCAGAATTGGCAGTTCATGCACTGGTGTTGATGACAACAAATTCCCTCAGACTTTTGCATCTGTTGCACTGTGTTGCATCTGGCAGAGTTAAGGTTAAGTGTGTGAATATTTGAAATATTCTTTTTGTATTCTCTTCTTTTTCTATTGTCTAGTTCCCGCCTCCTATTCCTATCTTCCTGAGACCAGCATTCTGAGGGCCTGCATGGACCACTTAATCCTGGCAAGCAAGACAGGTCCTGAGCTTGTACCCCCTAGCAGACTTGAGACATTGCTTTTGTGTCTCACTGGAAGACGGGGAGCCATGCCTCCGCTACCTCCAGTCAACTGGACGGCTGTGCTATCATCCATCATCAGACTGCCATATGGTAAGTATATTATACTCAACAGTCCAATCAAGTGAACTGTGATAAAAGGCATTGTTCTGTCATTGTTTTTCTCTTGTACACTCATGTGTGAATTTTTACATTTTTTTTTTATTGCACAAAAATATTGCTTTCAGTTATCGTTGCCCCCACTCTTATTACACATTTGGGAAAGATTTCCATACATGAAGTTCACTCAACACCCTGTGTACAAACCCTATGAGATTGGACTGAAAAATTCTAAGTGTTTTCTAAGAAAATGCTTGTATTTTCTCACTGCTCAAATTGACTTTGATGACATGAAATTGCTATCTGGGGGCTTGTTAGTCAATACAGAGGAAAATTAGTGAACTTCGTATATGGAAATCTTTCCCACATTTGTATGCCCCAAAGCACAAATTATCAAATCTTGAAGGTAGAGTACATCATTTGCAGCTATCCAGAAAGCAACTGACAAAATTATGGTTTTAAAGCTTACTTGGTTTACAGATAGTAATGGCACATAAACTCCCTGTGAAATTATTCTTTCTGGCATGCTGTGATTTTGAAGAAAACAATAAAAGAAGGGCATTTCCAACGATGCATTTAAAGACGCATTTTTTTGGGCGGCGACCGGTGCGCGCAGGCATTGACATGACGCACATGCGCACGAGGTTGCTACAATTTGTCGGTTCAGTGCGTGACATCGCGTAGCTGCAATTGGCTGAATGAGAACGTGTCCCGGACGCTGATTTCGGTCGCAATTCAAAACATGACTCGGCAATTTTAAATTGAAATCGAGATCCTAGAATATTGTTTTTCTCAGAATGTACAGCATTCACTGACCTAAAAGTTTATCAGGTTAGTTGTTAAGCACCCTTCTTTAGATTTGGGCACTTTTGTTGCTTCAAACGAACAAAACTGCACGAGTGACAAATGATGTACTCTACCTTGAATGTACATATGGTCAGTATACATACCTGAGTCTTACAAGTGTGGAAAAAAGCTAACATCTTATTCATTGTGAAGTTGAAGGTGGATAAAAAAATTAAGGATTTTTCTTTTAATTTCACAGGTGAGAAGGTTCATGGTTTGTGTATGGAGCTAGCATTGTCCCAGTGTCAGCGTCCATCTAGTTCTCTGCTCTGTGTAACAGCATGGTTGTCCCCTTCAATCTTCACAACATTCAAGGTATGTCATACCAAAAGTTACACCCATGTCATCACACTACATATTCCAAGGTGGCGTCACATTAAATGGAGCAACTCAAGTCATCCTAAGTAGAATTTTTTTTTTTTTTTTTTTTTTTTTTTTTTAATTTCTACTTTGTGTATGTAAAGTGTTTTTTATACGTTTTATGTTATTTTTTTTTAAATTAATATTTTATCCAACTATTTCTGGCACTTGTGCTGTTGGATGTTGTTCGAAATGAAAAAAATAAGTAAATAAAGAATTTGTTTTCGGATGAAGAACTTTATGTATTAATTTTTCATTGACTAGACTCTGGAGTCATTTAAACGACTGCAACCGTCGTTTCTTGGATGCAATCTTGTTTCAAACGTCAAATTTACTTCATTTTAAATTTTGGAAAAATAAGGTCAGCGTGGCTGTGGCATGCTAGTATGACATTGTGTTACATCTTTAAGAATGGTGATTCATTTTCATCATTTTCCTCTCATTGACAAAATAACCTGAACATGGATTATCTGTAGCATAATGAACCACCCCAAACTTTGCATTAGGGTGATTCCATAGGCATTTTTGTACAGTAGGAGTCTGAGCACTAGTAAGGCTACAATGTACATTGACTGAGCCTTTTGTGTAAGTAGGAATATATTTGTTTGAATGTACAGCTGGCACAGACATAACTTTTTGTCTACAAAATCAGATTCCTTCACATAAGCAAGAGCCTTAGTATTTAGGTTTTCAGGCTAAATTTATACTAACGCACACTATGTATCATTATACTCAGAAATTGACTTTAGTAGAACACTTGTGCCACCTTGTTAACCTGACTCCCAATATCAACTATTATCGGTGACACTTATGGCAGGTTTTACAATCTTTTGAAAAGCACAGATTCTCAACAAAGTCTTTATATTTCAGGAATCTTGTAAATTGATCTTGTTCGGGTCCCTTCCTGCTTTGATGCGAGTTGTCCCAACCAGCAAACTCAAGCCCTTCATTGAGACAAACCTAATGGAGCCATTCCGTGCAGTCGGGGTACACACGCTGGACCAGTGTGAAGTCATTGTGGACAGTCTACTAGCTGCACTGAGGATTCCTGACCCAGCGCAAGGGATTGTTGTCATACTCCATAAGGCAGTCAAGGATGTCTATAGTCTGGTGCCGGCAACTTTGCAGGTAAATCCACACCACACCAACTTTTGACTGCAGACCCTGACCTCATAACACACATGTATTTAAGACCAGGCAAAGGCCATGGGTCTTGGGAGTGCCACCTCCCCTGTAGTTCAGTTGTCCTACTGCTGCTCATATTTAAATGAGGTTGACCCCTATATCAATGGTCAACCTGACAATATGCACTTACTTTAAATGGCCCACCGATTTGAGTCTGTGTTCACAGGCAAATTTCATTCCCATGCCCCCCCAAAAATACACTTTTTTCTTCTTCTTTTTTTCTTCTTTTTTCCCCCCCAGAAAGCTCACGGCAGAGTTCTCGCCAAGTTGGCTCAATGTTTGTGCCATCTTCCAGGGCAAGAGATTGATGCTGTTACTTCACCTTTGGCACAGGTTAGTTCTATTTGTATTTTATTGGCTTCACGCACAAACTAGCCTTCTAAAACTGACAATGCCGGACACTTCAGCTCTTTTTTCATATACCATTTTAGGGAGTATATTTAACGTGAACATTGGTTAACAGCATGCAATGGTTTGAGGCACATTCATGTAAGTGGTTGGTATTAGTTTACCGTGATACCATTTGAACTAGAGCCTTGACTGACTCGCACAAGTCGGATCACGTGTGTCATTAGAGAGTCCCTTTAAATAAGAAAACATTCTTGTTGGTTCAGCCAATTTGAAAATCCAATATTTTGATGGATATTTAGTGTTAAAATACAACTTACAGCAACCATCAGAAATTGTTTGCGTAAAATCTGTTTTGGACATCAATCAGTGACATGTACGCAATTCCGAAGAGAAAAGAGGGCAGTGACTGTTGACAGAAATTTGATTCAGCAATGTAAGGGCATCCTTTTTTAACTATTGCATTATTAATTCGTCAGGGAAGCATGATTAATTTATGAATATTTTATTACTATTTGAATATTTTCCTACATGTATTAACCACAGAACAGTTTGCTGAAGGCGACCTTTGTTCGGTCTTACATCGTATGTCAAGGCAAGCAGTCCCTGATGTGGCTCAACCCATGCATTGGTAAGTAATGGTATGTTTAAACCCGGTTCATACTTCATGCGAATGCTAATGCGAAGCGAACTTGGCGTCATGAAACATTCGCTGTGAAATTCGCCCGAGTTGAAATATGTATGAATCGCAGCGTGTATACTTGCCATGACGTTACAAATTCGCGTTCGCTTTCGCGCAGAGTATGAACCGGGCTTTCACCTGGTTATGGCTGGCAGTAACACATGCTTTTGTGGGAATTGGAATAAACTTCTACTTCTACTACAAAAATCAGATGAGAACCAGTCGTAAGCCATAATAATACCATGGCATTTTGGCTGGTAAGGATTTTTTGCTATGCAATATTATTAGTGCTAAGCAAATTTCAGTGCTGTAAAAATGTGTTAAGATCCATTTAATTTTTGCTGGTCCAGCCTATAGTCCACTTTGCACTTGACTGACTGACTGACTGACTCCCCTTTCTCCCCCACTCGCTCGCTCGCTCGCTCGCTCACTCACTCACTCACTCACTCACTGTCACTTGTAAGTTAGACTCGCTTTAGCCTGAAAATTTGAAAGAGGATACCCTGTTGCGTTAATGAATGAGCTAAATCCAGCCACATGCATGCATAGACTTCCAGTGAATAGCCATTCTGAATCAATTGAATAGAATTATGTGTGCTCTGGGACCAGCTTTACGAGGCTTGCCTAATTTATGAGGTCGGCATAGCGGATCAGGTTGGTGTAGTGGTACTTTCCTCACCTTCAACCGCTATGACCCTGGTTCGAATCCCGCCTGGGCCAATATGTGGATTGGGTTTTCAGTCCCTGCCTGATTCTGTGGGTTTTCCCCAGAATATCATTCTGGGGTTTTCCTCCCACCACTAAAACTGTAATGTCCTTCCACATCTTCTACCAAGGGACCCTACTGGAAATAAGTCGAAAGACTTCTGTGGGCTATCCCGGCCAATTGCTGTGTAATAATAAATAAATAGATAAATAACAAAATAGATAACTATTGTCTTGTTATTGTGCAGATGTGGCTATGAATGTCGCTGACACGTCACAACACCGGAGCATGATATGGACATTGCTTGTGGCCCTGGCGCAGTGCGATTCCAACCGCAGTCAACACACAGCATCCATGCCACGTGTACACTGGTTGCTGGAACTCATGGGCCACGCCAGAAATATTGCCCATGCTAAGACACAGCTGGCTCCCAACAGACCAATACACACGGTAAATATTGTTGTAATATAGTGGCTATTTTACAATTGTTGACTGATGTGATGTGGGATATGGTATTTTTAGCACCCAAGTGCGCATAGCACCCAAGGTGAAGCCAAGGGTACTATGCGCCCGAGGGGATTAAAAACGTCATATCCCACATCACATCAGTCAACAATTGTATTGTTATATCATGTCAAAAGTAAGCTATGGCAGTTCTTTGCCACTTTTCATTCTTGTTTACTTGTGACCATATTTGTAATGGAAATCTGATTTGAGTTTTTGTAGATGGATGGGGTGCCAGTCCATTGCAGGTTACTCCCCAGCCAATGCCAGCATGACCAGCAGCTGGATTTGAACCTCTGACCTTCTGATCATGAGTCCTGAGCCCAAACCACTAAACCAGCCCCTCCCCCCATAGAGTACAATTGCAAAAATTATTTAATTAATTTTGAAATAAGAAGAGAACTTATTTGGCAAACAAAATTAGAGGTCACAACTTGCGTGGATCCACACCTGTGCACATGCTGCACGCATTTTGGAAGATGAGGCGTGCATTGGTAACACCAAATGTCAATGGAGCATTGAGTGCATGAGTGCACACAACCTGTGTGCAAACATGGCTCCGCCTCAGGAATGGCATTTAATTGGTTGCTGAATTAGTTTATACTAGCTCTGAGCGTGAATTACATGTACTCGAGTTACTCATATATTCTTTTTCTTTTTTAAATTTTGATCACCAGGCAGTACAGATCCTACTGGATGTCTTTGCTGCTGCAATCGTTGCCTGGTCATCCAGTGACTTACCCTTAATCCTGGGCCTTGCTCCCAGCTGGTTAACTGCCCACCATAGTGAGCAGGGACCAGGGAAGATGAGTACCAGCGGTGTTGGGTTTCGTGTGATTGAGCAGCAGGCCAGTGAAGATGTGTTACAGCTCTTGCCACACAGTTTGCCCTTACTACTGAAGAGAGAGCCATGGTCTCAGATAACAGATAAGGTATACAGTGCTTTTCTTCTCGCATCAAAGACCTATCCCAGCACGGGACGAAAGTAAGGTTTCAAGGCAAAGTAGTGCTTGTTACGGTTCAGATGAGATTTGATCTTGTCACTTGATGCTACCGCAAACTTACTCTTACTACGGTTCAAAAATGTAGTTGAGATCTTTTGCGAGATCTCACACAAATGCTCATACATGTATAACGGATTGTCAGATTTCGTAGAAGTTCAAAGTGAATGTGCAAAGCCTCTTGATGCTTTAACTGTCAAGATACAAAACAGTTGGGTTGTTTTAATGTTAATGTAGGATTTGAAATTATATAGTTGGAGAATTGGACCTCAAGAAGGTCTTGGTGAGATTTTGGCTTCAACAATGAATTTCGATTAAAGTGTCGGTATTCTGCCATCAAATTAAGAAAATAAAGAATGGTTCTTTGATGCACTTTGTCTGTTAAAATTTAATTATTGAATAAAAATAAGAGGTCTCGAAAGGTCTCATGGCTTGTATGCTATAAAACAGGTAGAATGTTTGTGGTTGTGCGCACACATCTGCACAAAATGACTGTCTTCATAGCTTCATTTGCATAAAATGGATATTGTTGCTTTTTAGGTTCAATAGACACATTTTAACAATTCTCTGGGTAGTGTAGTAACATTTCTCGTGCAATACATCTCGGATATTAAACTTCCTGAAGCACCCTAAGTGAATAGTTTTTGGAACATCAGAGCAACTTGTATTTCATAACTGCTAATAATACCAATATTAAAAAATTGAAGCGCTTGCTTTCTTTCAATGAGTACCTTCTTGAAGGCATCACGAATACATTGCAACATTCTTTTATAAGATGGAATTTTTGCGTCGGGGTGATATAAATCAAATAAGGTTTTGCCCTTCACCGACGTTTAAACACTGTAGTGTGTTTCCAACTTTCACTCGGGAGGTAACACACTGAATATACAGTGTTTAAACGTCGGTGAAGGGCAAAACCTAATTTGATTTAACAGTCTTTTACATTTTCACTCAGTGTTTGGAAGTAAGTTAAGACCTTTTGCTTGCTTGTTATGCGTACTTCTATTCAAGGCCTCGTTTTTTTTAAGCTAAGTATTAAGCTCATTAAGTTCCAATTAAGTTTTTTGTTATTTGCTTCAAGAGTTTGGACTTTTACATTATCAACTCTTTTTTTTTGTATATTATTATTATTTTTGGCTCCAGGTTTTGAATTGGTTGCTGGACATGCATGATGTTGAACGCGATATGCTGTCACCTAACACAAAAACACACTTGAAAGGTAATCTGCTCATTGTACCATACTTTTTGCACCATGAAGTTTCAAATTATGAACAGTGAAAGCTCAAGCTTTGATTATGGTTTAAGCCCAAATTTTTTTCCAATTATAAAAATAATTCTTAGTAAATAATTTTGGAAACAAATTTGGTAATAATTTCAACGTATTTATATTATTAGATTCTACTGCGTTTTTCTTCAGTGGCGCTATATACATTTCCTCATGTCCGATTTCTTGCAGCGACTATTTTGAGCCTACGCCACACTCCGGCTTTCAATAATCCAGCCTGCTGGACCAGGATTCACAGCTTATAGTACATCATGAACCAGTAAGAAGGACCTTCTCCAACTAGAAGCTCAGAGGGTTCAAAACAAAATGAAACAGCCATATCTGCTTGAAACATTGGAGAGGTTAAGTCATGTGTATAGTACTAGAAGCTTCATACAGTATGCATTCCCGTCTGTGTATACGGAATAGAGTTTTAAGAAAGCATTTCAGAGAATCCATTATTGGAGTACTGTCTGAAATATGAACCGTGTTTAAAAATGCTGACAATTAGTTATGTTTCTTGAAATAATATTCTTTATTGATTAGATTATAATCTAATTGAAGTGAAGCTCATTGTCAATCTCTGATATTTAACATGGTCGTGAAATGAAGAGATTCTTTTCTCCATTACAAGAAACTTCAAGATCACAAGCATCCTATGCATTGCATAGGGAAAATGCATGCAGTGGGGGTCCTACGCATACACATTCTTGCGACAACTTGGAAACTTAACCTCTCCATTGATAAGTGTACTGGAAATTGATTTTTTTTTCTGGCACAATCGACTTGTTGTTGTACAGTGCACACTGTTCATAAAACTTCATCAGTAATTAATACATGTAATACATACATGTACAATACCTGAAATATGCCGATTATATTTTGATAAAGCAATATTTAAACTAAAGTTGGCTTTAGGGGTGCATTTAATTGCCGTAATTTTGGACTATAAGCTGCGGCTTATACGTTGATTTTGCTCATGAAAATGTTTACTGCGGCTTATACGAAGGGCGGCTTTATGTGCCGAGCCTTGAAGAATAAAAATGAGATTCAAATGTATATTTGATGTACTGGTATAAGAAAAGATCTGTTGCTGAAATGAATTATCAATTAAGAAAGTCATTAACAAACCAAAAGCACGTCCCACGAAAAGGTACCGAGCGGTAAAAAGTACGGGCGGCCGGCTGACCGACCATGATCATGATACCGTAAAGCTATACTAGTACAGTGCTGCATAACAGTTGTCCAAAGTACTGTCTGAGTTACAGTTGGTTGGAACAACGTTAACATTTTATCTTTGCCAACGTTTTTCCATATTTGTCAAGATTTGTACTGGACATACAGGTTCTGAATTTGTACCTGATACAGAAATGTCTTCTTTTTTTGGGGGGGGGGGGAGAAATCAATTTGTGTATAGCTCAATGTGAAGGCCTGGTTGAGATGGACAGCTTTTACAAATCCACAGTTTCCACAGGAGCACCTCCTGGTAACTTGATCCCTCTAGCATAACATACCCTGCACTTCTTTGACCTCCAGTCAACAGCTCCCTCATTTGGCTGTTTCTTAGCTGGGAAATGCCTCCCACTTTAGCCTCTGAATAGACACTTCTCCATTGATCCTGGGAATTGACATTAGCAACGCATTTATAACATCTTGAGTAAATAAATAGCAAATCTTTTTATATGGTTTCCAAATAAAGGGCACAGACATTTGGCTTTTGACACACCGAGCAATCTAAGACAGCAAAGTCCTGCTCCCTGATCATGTTTGTTGATGGCACATTGTCATACTTGGCAAGGGTGTCTTCAGATGGATCCCTGCTCTTTTCACCGGAAAGTCGGTTCTGGCACTGGCGGTTCAAAATAAGCAGCATGGTGCAAGATGCCATCTCCATCCAGTGCTTGGATGCAGAGAACTTCCATTTCTCGAGCTGTATATTTGCTGAATAATTTTACGAACACCTCTTTCACTATTTCCACATCAGTCAGGACAAATTCGCCATTAAGCAGATCAGTTGCATCCTTTGCCCATTTTTTGAGCTTCTGTTGGAGTTGATGGAGAGTGCCATTTAATGATATGATGTTATCTTCATTTATACTGATCCATTATGGGTCAGTGACTGATTTGAACAGAATGCCCAAGTCACCAAGTTCTTGCTGGTGATCTTTTTTTAGGTGTCTTCTGCAACCACTTGCAACAGATTATTTGGGTCAGGGAGGCTCTTAACGAAGAATATAATGTGATCTGTAAGGTAGTATGTAGCAGCTGCAGACTCAAAAATAATGTTTGCACTATTTCCAACATAATATGGTTAAGTAGTTGTGAGAACTACATTGCTTGTTCAGGTAAGAGATGAAAACCTTTTCTGCCCAACTTTGATCAGATCCATGATGATGGAATGCTTTGCTGGCAGTTCGGATCAGGTAGGTGACACCTGCCTCTGCTGTCACTATGATGTGTGAATTTTCTTTCTAAAGAAGTCCTATCTTCCAAAGATTTTAACACTTTATCTCTTCAGCAAAGTTTATTAATGGTGCATTTTGCAGTAATATGTGCCAAATTCTGCCACACTCTCGTGACTTAGATGTGCAAGTGTCCCAATTTGTAACCACTGAAGGAAGAAGTTCTTTTCGGATAAACAGCAGCTTCTCACTAAACTGTGGCATGTAGTTCCTTGATCTGTCATTGTGCTGTTGATGGAGCACACAATTTCTTTATAAGCCACCTTTTTATCCTTTCCTGTTGCAATATGGAGAGAAACTGTCATCTTCTTAAGTCAGCAAATGAAGGAACCCGTTACAGCCTCTTGTGTCCCCACTGCCCATTTGCACTAATCCTATTGTTCTGCTGTACCATCAGGTACGGTATGTAACTCAAGTCTTTTAGCACTTCTTATGAAATGTTGTAATTCCATTACCATGAATGCAGTTTCCAAGTGTATCTTCTGCTGCACTTTTGCTCAGTGGCAAATTTATTTCAACATCAGCGAGAGATGTCTTGCCTCCAGACTGATGTGGGAAAGTTTTCCCAAAGAAGGCAATCTGCCTACTTCTTTCAATAATTGTAATGGAATTTTTGTGGGTTTTTTGGTATTCTGGTTTAAGTCCAAATTCTGCCACACTCTTATGACTGAGATGTGCAAGTGTCCCAATTTTTAACCACTGAAGGAAGAAGTTCTTCTCGGATAGACAGTAGCTTCTTACTAAACTGTGGCATGTAGGTCCTGGATCTGTCATTGTGCTTTTGATGGAGCACACAATATCTTTATAAGCCGCCTCTTTATCCGTTCCTGTTGCAATATGAAGAGTAACTGTCATCTTCTTAAGTCGGCAAATGAACTGAGGAACCCGTTACAGCCTCTTGTGTCCCCACTGCCCATTTACAGTAATCCCATTGTTCTTGATCATGTTGATGTACCATGAGGTATGTAACTCAAATCTTTTGGCACTTATGATAAAATGTTGAAGTTCCATCACCCCGAATGCAGTTTACAAGCGTATCTTCTGCTGCACTTTTGCTCATTGACAAGGAAAAGTCTGGAAACTACATACATCTTTCCACATGCACTCGGAGCACCTTCTGTGACTTTTTGCAGTCGGTGAGCTTGAAATAATTCACAATATCCCCAAACGACCACTCCACACTGATGCACACTCTCGACATAGCTGTGTTGAATGCTTCGGGGCAGGTATCTTTCAGTGGTTTTCATGCAGATTCAAAACAGATCAATCCGTCATATTATACCTAGCTGTATCGACAGGCAATTATGACAAGTTCCTTGCACCCCATCTGCAAGTTCTTCACTTGTCTAGGGTACATGTATCTACGTGATATGGTATCATATCACTCTGTTCCTCATGGTGTTTGTCAGCAAAAAATATTTTACAGTTGTAAACTGCACCAAGAACTCATGAGCTGTAAATTACAAGGTAGTTTCCATGCTTAAAGGGCTAAACATGTAGTTGCTATACAAGAAAGTAATTATTTTAAAGGATTATATTTTCAGGTTCTGCAAAAACAAATTGGCAGTGCAGAGCCAATAGTAAGTATTCTGCACACAATAAAAAACTCGTGAAAAAATATCAAAATAGTGGTGCAGCGTCACCTTTTGTTTCCCGTGGGGATACATGTGTTGGCCCTGTCATGATTAATTCCAGGATTTAACGGCAAGAGCAGTTCTCTGGCAATGTTAACCGTGTGGAAAGGTGCTTGCAGCTGTGTGCACAAAGGGTAGGCCGAATCACCATAAATGCATAAAATGTTCCCATCTAGGTGATGACCATTTTTTCTTTAAGGCTTTTGTAATTTTGTACCTGTTCCGCTGATTTATTTTTGCCATTAACGCTGATTTACTTTCGAGATGACAATGCATGTCCACCCAACCGATTATTGGAAGCATCGATGTGTTTCCTCTCAAAATAGTGGGTTAGCCTTTGTTATCATGAAGTCCTCCCAACTGGCAAACATTGTAGGCATTTCGTCTATACAAGATCTTGTCTTTTGACAACTCTCATTGCTGCCTCTGCGGAGTTGTTTGTGTTATAGTTTCTTATAATTACGTTGCTGCGATATTCAATAGTCTCTCCATCCAAAACAACACCAGTATCAAGTGTCACAGAACATGACTGACAAAATTTGTTGCGACACTGTTGCTTGATAGACTTGTCAATCATCTCACTGAGACCAGTCACTCGAATTCCTCCATATTTCTCATGTACTGGCTGGTCAAAAAAGAGAACAGGGCCAACAGAACAGTTGACCGGGTAGACTATGTTACATGATAAGCCTATCCCAAAGATGAAAAAGTTCCACAACAGTCTTACCTTTTAAAGTAAAACCAGCAACTTGGGCAAGTTCATGTTTCCGTGGCTCCATGGTCTCCATTCTTTGCATCATCAGAGACAAGAGATGCTAATGAGATGAGAGAAGCTGGTGCTACCCTTGAGGGCTGGATGACTCCTGACTCCTTGGCTATGGGGATGCTCCTCACAGAGTACAGTAAACCAACACTGCTCCTCCAGTGCAGGTAAATGAAGCAGGTCTATTGTCCCTGGGCCCAGCGCAGGAGTAAGATGCCATGGGTATAGAAGACCCGGAGGCTTGCTAAAGTGGGGAAACATTGCTATGGGTGCCAAGTCCTTGGGTATAGGTGACCCGTCGGACTGTCCAGTGAGGATGGGCTAAAACATGTCACCATCAGGAAGTTGATATCTTGTCGGTGTTCAGCCACAGGAACCAGTGTCAGCTTGTTGCCAATAGATCCCTGCTGGTGCCAAGTTGGGCAGTTTATCAATGTCCATGTCTGCCAAGGGACCTGTGTTTACCGAGTCTTGTAGGTGATGTCTTGCACGTCACCACATTCGCAGCAGATTCTCCAAGTCTGCACTTCAGGTTCTACTTGTTCTTGTGGGATGTAAAAGGCTGTGAATACTGATAAGTGTGCATAAACCAGCATAGCAAACCACCAAACAACTGGCCAGTGGTAAGGTGGTCTTCCAACTGACATTCAATGTGGCACAATGCAGAAGTTTCATTAGAGTCAACATTGAATTTAATTTGTTGACTCTCAAGCAATTTGATCGTCAGAGAGAGCAAACCCCAACTTAAGTATCCTACATACTCTACTACAATAAAATGCTATTTTTAATATATTTTCAAAAAGTAGCTTTTTTGATAAGAAGTAATTTTTTTTATTGAGTATCAAAGATTTAAAAGTGTCGCCATGCTTAGTCATTGGTGTTTCAAACATAATTTCAATTTCAAGATCTCTGGTAAACATGCTTTTCAAAGGAATTGACAAATTAAGTGGTTAATTACTCACCCTACGTTTGAATGAGCATTACTTGTGTGGCCGTCCACATGAAAGGCAACTGGTGCCACTGATTTGGCTTTGCATGGTTTACCTAATGTGGATGATTACCTGCTTGCAACAGTAATACTAGCATCCAGCACAATCAATTGAAATAAACAATGTATTAAGGGCTGTGGCTTTTAGTGTGAACTTTT